ATTTATATATATTACTTTTATCAGGTTTTATTACCATTATTATTATAGTTTAGTTAAATATTTCTTAACTATAATTATTTATTTTGTATATTTATTATAACGGTCTTTTATATTTATTATGTATTAAACTTTTTCTGAAGTATTATTTATAATATTGAATAAAATTTTACTATAATTAATACAATTATTTATTATTACAAAAGATAATAAAATCATATATCATAAACACTATTATTATAATCTAGGAAATTTTATGTATTATAAATATTTAAAGTTTTGCTCGTTATTAATACTTTTAACTTTAATTTATATTGAAATTTTTATAATTCATAAGAAAACGAATTTTCTTTTATATATATTTTTTTATTTTTATTAAGATCTTTATTTTATTTTCTATTTTTGTTTTAAACAACTTTTTACTTTTAATATATTTATATCTATTATATAAATTTCGTAAGAAGTATATATATATATTTGTATTTATATAATTAATTTTTTTAGTATTTACCTTTTTTTTTTAAAAATTTATTTTTGATGATAGCAACAAATTTAGTATTAATAAAAGTTTTTATTTTTTTATTTATTTATTTAGTTTATTATTTTGTTATTTTTATATGAAACAATGTTGACTGATTTAATATTTAGTCAATCTTTAGACTCGATTATACTTTTATAATATTATATTGAATTTTTTTATTTATATGAAAAAATGAATACTCGTTTCAATACTTTTACGGATTTTACAGTAACTTTTCATAATTTTTTATTAATATTGTTATATTTTTAAAACTATTACAATTATATGTTTAATATTTTCTTACTATTTATATTTATTTTTTATCGGTTCATTAGCACTTCTTTTATAAATATTTCGAAAAAAAATAAAATAATTAGTTTAGCATGCTTTCAGTGATACATAACACCTAGAATTTATTGGCAGCCTCGTATTATTGGCCAATAACATGGCCTACGCGTACCATTGGTGCTAGACTATTATAATTTTTTTAGGTTATCATTATTTAATATTTTATTAAATATTTTACTTTTCACTAGCAGTTTTGTATTATTTTTTAGTGAACTTTATATAATATGTTTTTTTCTTTTATTTTAAAATATTTTTAAACGTGCATTAAACTTTTATTTTTTTCTAATAGAAATTATTATATTTAGGAAAATTTAAAAACTAAGTATAATATTTTATTAAATTTAAATTAATATACTTTTGATATTTATCGAAAGTTTATAACAAACATCAATAGCTTATTAGCAACTTCTTCGTTTCTCTTATTTTTGTATAGGTTTCCCTTTTTTTTTACTTTGCTAACATGCTCTTGTTTCTTTCTGCTTCGTCCTCTGCTATTCGCTTCTTGCCTTCTTTTCTCCAATCAGAACTCGCCCTATATACTTTCAATTCTCCTCTCATCAGCATATTCAAAAGTCTAATTCTGAACCTTTAAGTGTATAGTTTTTATATCTATATACACGAACAATAGAAAATAGAAAAAAAATAACAAGTAAAAGTTTATAATATATAATTTTTTGAAAAAGAAAAAACTGAATAAAAACTTTAATAATACATGAATTGTAAATGCTTATAACATGTTTATTACGTTAATCAGTCATATATTACGTTTTTAAGAAAAATGTTTTATAAATGAAAATTAATTATAATAGTAAATAGAAAATTTTATATAACAATAATAACTTGTTCAATAGAAAAATATATTATAAATAACTTTAAAAAGGATAATATATATAGTAATAGTATTAATAGAAAAATATGTTATGAACAACTATTAAAAAAGTAATAATATATAACAGAAAAATATATATTATGAACACTTATAAATAATAATTATATATAAGAAATAAAAAAATAGTAAATTTTAAGAAAATACGTAGAAACTTTTCATATGATTATGGAAATATACTGATCTACGAGTTTTTAGTAATAAATATAATAATGAAATTGTTAATATTATAAAATATTAATTAGTAATAAATAATGTGTACTTTGCAAACTTATCAATATATAGTAAAGAGTAAATGACTCAAGATAAAAAGTGAGAAAGAAGAAGTAAAGTTTTATTATAAAATAAGATAAAAATTTATTCTATTCATTAAAATTTGTTATAAAATCTATTCACTAAAAATAATGAATTTTAGTTTATGCTTTTAATATATATTTTTTATTTCTATTAAATGTGTAAAAGATTTTGTAGTTATTGGATAAAAAATTATTTATCATAAACAATTAATAAATATAACATATAAAACGGAGAAAAAATAATATTTTAATAGTGAAACTTTTCAAAAAAAAAAAAACTGTTTTTTTTTAATAATTCGAGCTTATTGGAACCAAATGACCCTCAATTGTTGGGGTCATAAACTTAAGCAAATAGTCATTCGCAGTTATAGTAATAACCTTAAGACATAGTAAGAAAATCGCTAATACATTAAAAGTTTTAGTAATAAATATTATGTGTGTGTTTTTTTTATTTATTAGAAAAGAAAGTAAACATTTATTTTTAGATTTTCTTATTAAACTTTTATTTATACAAAAAGTTTCATTTTTTTTTAAGAAAATTATAAATATAAGAACTTTTACCGTTTTTATTATATTTATTTTCAATTGTATGAAAAAGTTTATATCTATACTTTTTACTTTTTAATATATATACTTTTTTTAAAGAAACAAAAATTATATGAAAGATTTGTTTATTATATATAAAAACTTTAAGAAAACTTTGTTCAATCATATAAATTTATACTTTTTTTTGAGTTAAAGTTTTATGGATTTATTCATTCACATGAAATTTATAGTTATATATACGTTTTATATACTTTTATCATTTTTTTTTTATAGTACTGTTTAAAATGTTTATATTGTTAGAAAACTTTAATAAACTTTAATAATTTATAGAACATTTAGAATTAGTCATAAAAGTTGAATATAAAAACTTACATATTATTAAAACATGTATTAATGGAAACTCTTAATAATACTATGGTGTTGACAATAGTAATAAAAGTTTTATATAAAAACTTTAATAAACTTACATTTTTTTAAAATCATTCATAATTAGTTATATATAAACTTCTGATAAACTTTTATTTATATTAAATTATAGTAAAATTTTTTTACTGGATTTAATATTTTTAAATTATTTTATAGTTTTCCTTTTTATTTATAAATTTTTATATAACTTGTACTTAATAATCGTTATAAGTAAATTTTATTAAAGAAAAAAAATTTTGAGCGCAGTAAAGTTTATTTTGTGTTAATATATTTTATACGAAATATCAAAAATTGTTGTGAATATTTATATATTTATAGTAAACTTCATATGATTTTATTTTTTTATGTATAAAAAAAACTCATGTTGGACTTAAAAATTTATATTTTTATTTTTTATGAAAAACAATTTTTTGCTTATTTTTTTTAAACAATTTACATTTTACTGAAAACTTTGTGGTATTATTAATAAAAAAAATACGATTTTTAAGGCGGAAACTTCTGAGGGCGGCATCGGCCGCGTGTTGCACGTGACTATTGAAAATCTTTTTTATCCGGTTTTTATACGTTTTTTTAGGGTTTTTTTGTTTTAAAGAAACCTTTGTATTCTTTTTTTTTAGGTGACACTCGACACGCTTTACCATATCTTCGTAAAGTTTGGAGCTATTGCACGTATCGTGACTTTTTCTAAAAGTAAAAGTTTTACATATATTTAATATAGTGTTGAAAAGTTTATTATTTTTATATTATATTGGATGAAACTTTTTTTTTATAAATGTGAAACATCTTTTCAATTTTTTTTATGTATTCATTTATTATTAAGAAGGCTTTATTTTTTATTTCTGAGTTTTAAGTTATATAAGTTTTGTAAAGTCGACACTTTATAATATTTATGTTTGCTGAGAAGTTATTTTTTCTTAAAACTTTTAAAACTTTTTTTATAGTTCTATAAAAAAAAGAATACTTTTATTTTATAAAAGTTTTTAATAATAAATTTCTATATTTTGCTAAATATATTTAATAAATAGTTTAAATTATTATCTACTATTTTTAAAATACTTTAATGGCTCGTTATTATTTATATTTCTTATTTATTATTAATTTTATTCCTTTTTAATTTTAATAATTGTTATATATTTTGAATACTGTTATTATTTATTACTAATATTGCTTATTATTTTTTTATTTCCTTATTATTTTTTATTATTATTTAATATTATACTATTTTTTTGTTATTATTAATAATTATATTTTTACTTTTTTTGTTAATATTTTTTATTAATGACTATCAAAGTTATTATTTGTTATTGAAGCGAATCACCTTTTTTTACTTTATCTTTTTTGTTGAAATATATTTTTTACTAAAAATTTTGTTTTCTGGTATTAATTACTATTTATATATCTTTATTCTTTTTTATAAACTTTTGCTATTGAATTATTTTTAAAAAAATAGTAATTATTGTATTAATATTTGTATTATTCTATTTTTTTTCCTTTTATTTATAAAACATTATTTCTTTATTTATATATTAATAACTTTTGTAGAGTTTTTATAATAAAAACATATTTATTATTTTCCCTCTCTCAACTTTATACATGGTAACTTTATACTAAATTGTTCATTAGTACTAATACTATAATTTATTGTTTCTATTACTTTTCGCTTGAAGTATTTATTATTAATATTATTTATAATTATTTTTTTTATACAATAATACTTTTTTTATTAAAGTAGTAGAGAATTATATTTATATTTATTATTATTATTTTCACTTTATTCTGTTTATATTTATATTTTTTTCTTTTTTTTCTTTATAATATAAATGTTTACTAAAAAAGGTTTTTCAAAATATTAATATTTTGAGATTTATATTATTTTTTTACTTTATATTTATTATATTTTTTATAAATCACACTTATCGAAGTTTATTATATACTAAATTTTTGTTTGTTCAGATGTTTTTCAGGCGCTTATTGAGTTCACCGACTTCACTTCTGCGAATGCTGCAAAGTATACTACTAATAAACTCTACAAAAAATTCTTTTTATTATCAAAAGTAGAATCGTACAATAATTTTTTTATTTACTACTTTTGTAAATAGAAAAAAAGAAATTATTTTACTTTTATGACGGTAATAGTATTATACACTTCCTTTTATTATAAACTTTATTTTTATAAAAAAGTATTGTTTTACTTAAATAGGTTTATTATGTTCTAGTAAATGCTTTTTTTATATATAATATTTTTATTGTGAAGGTTTTTTATAATAAAGTTTTGTTATTGGTGTGGAGGACTTGATATCTTGTTCTTCTGCTTAAGAAAAGTATTTGTTTTTTTCAGCGCGACATAAAAATTCGCGTCTTTTTTCTGCTTACATTATTGTCACGTGGCTTGTGTTTTTTTGTACCCGTTCTTTGGTATACAATTATCGGTGTTTTTTACGGGCGAAGGAGGCAATTACAGACCCAATAGTGGCTGCCTTCAGGTCGACCGCTTTTGTAGTCGCTCAGCTTGGCTTATAGTCACTATGCAAGGCAACCACTTGTCCATTTTGATTTAATTATACACTTTATTTTTATAGAGTTTTGAACGGACAAAATATTTACGCGCACTGTTGTACTTTAAAAATACAACCGTCGAAATTAGAAAAATTGAACGTCAAGTTTAATAATGATAAATCTCGCGATTTTTCCCAACAAGTTTTGCCCGCCGACCCGTCCGTCGGTAGTGTTAATAATTGTTGAACTGTCTTTTTTAATGACAAGTCTTTGGACCAATAACCTTGAACTTTTTTTTCTTCTTTTGACCAACCCCGATTTATTCTTAGGCATGTTGCCCACCATGCCCGGCCTTATTGGTTTTCCTGCCTTCTCTCCATTTCCCTATGGCCCCTCAGCCGCCTTCGCCTATCCCCTGGCCTATCCAGCGCGACCTCCGTTTTCTCTCGGTATCATTACAATTATTGTCATCATCATTATTATTAATTTTTTTTAGGCGGCGCCTCCTTTGATTTTGCTACTCAGCACATGCCGGGCGCTCTTTCTTCCTTTCCACGAGATGGTTGCGTCATTTTAGTGAATAACCTGGACGAAACCAAAGTGACTCCCGATGTTCTCTTTACTCTCTTCGGCGTATATGCCGGTCTCTGCGTTATTATTATTTTTATTATCATTTATTGAGTTTAATATATTCATTAATATATAAAATATTATTCATATTTTTTTAGATGTTGCGAAAGTAAAAATTCTATTCAATAAAAAAGAATCGGCGCTAGTTGAAGTGATGGATCCCCAGCAAGCGTCCATTGGTTATTTTTTCTTTGCGGTTGTTTTCATTTGGATGAGTTATTTTTATAAAGTGGAGTGGTGAAAACTTTTTCACCAGCATCACTAATAAATATGTATTTTTATTGAAGTTCCATATAAAATCGTTATACCCTACTATTAATGTTTTTTTAATGAAATGATATATAAACCATTTTTATTACTATATAGTTTATAATAAATTTTTGGCAAAATAATTCACTAAAATTCACGAATATTGACATTAAAATTTTATTCAGACACTTCAATTTATATATCTTTTTATTCCTAATAATTAATTCTTTGTAATTATTTATATACGAAAGCATTCATTATAATTAATAGTATATAAACGGTAAATTTTTTTCACTATCTAAATTGTCTCGAAGTAAACTATTACCAGTCCGCGTGCCTATTTATCGCGTTTACTAGCCATTTCCTCTTGTATTTTTTTTAAAAAAGATTATTATGAATCTATATTATTTTTATTATAAATTCATTATTTTTATCGGTTTACTTTAAAAATATACTTCATTTTTATTAAACTTAGAAATAATTTTTGCTTTTCTATTTTTTTAGCCGTTTCTCATCTTGAGGGTGTTCCACTTTACGGCCGTCCGCTCCACCTCATGCTTTCCAGGCACAAGTCCGTCCAGCTGCCGAAGGATTCTGGCGGGCCAGTTGAAGGGCGCATCCTTAATAAGGACTTTTCCGATAGTAATTTGCACCGCTTTCGTAAGCCGGGCTCCCGAAACTTCCGCAATATCGTAGCCCCCTCCGGTAGCAACTTTTTCTAATAAAACTCAATTTTTTAATATTTTTAAAATTTTCTTTATAATAATTAATGACTTTTGAGCGAATTTTTTTCCAGTCATTAATATTATTTATTAGTAATTATTTTTTTTTTTAATTTTTCTAGCGATTTACAAATAAACTAACTTGTAAGTAATTCTTATAATAACAGTTTTAACTCAATACTTAATTACACATAATAACTTTCGGGTATTTTTTTTATTACTTATTATAATTTTGTATCTCCTCTTGAATCTTTTCTTTGAAGTTAATATTACTTTATCATAGTTTTTGTGTTATTTATTGGTATTTAATTTATAATATTTATCATTTTCGGAAATGTAATTTTTGCACGTTTTTTATATAGTAACAACTTCTTTTGGTAATAATTTTATTATACTTTTAAACTTAATATATATATACAAATATTAATACTATATTAAATCATGAAGTTATTAATAAAATATATATTTTTTTTTATTTTTTTTTGATTTTTATAACATTAAAAACTATACCCGCCTCTGCTGTCTTGAATATTTACTTCTTTTATATAATAATAGTAATTAGACCATAAATATACTTATTATAATAACTCTTTACTTGCTTTATTTTTTGTTTTATTCAATATATAGTATAACGGAAATTGAATTATAAGAAAGTTTAATTTTTTCCCCATTATTCGAGCCTAATTAATAAATATAAAAACTATAATTCGGTTGTGATATGCTTATATGCAACGTCCATTTAGATTTTACTAAAAAACATTTTTTGCACAAATTGAGTTTGTAAATAATATTTATGAACAATAATGAATATATCTTTTGGTTTTATAATAATAAGGCGATTGTTTCTTTTTCAGGTTAAAGTTTTTTAAAAAGATAAAATTATTAGTATTATGAAAGCTTTTATATTCTTTTGGCATTTTGTTTATTTACGCTTCTTTAAAATTTTTTTAAGGAATTCGTATTTTTTTAAGTCACTTTTATTGAAACGAGCCAATGGAAGTTAGTTTCTTTTTGACATTTAAAATTTTATGAAACTTTAAATTAATTTTAATTTTATAATTATTTAATCAATTTTATATAAATTTTTTTTACAATAAGTATTGACTTTTTATTTTAAAATTTGTTATTATAGAAATAATAGTATTATTGAATTCTTTTAACAGAACGAGCCAAGATAATCAATACTTGTTTAAATTTTATTGCAAAAATATCCTATACGACCACTGCTTTTATAATTTTTGAAGTATTTTCATTTTTTTATAATTTTTATAATTTTTTAGAAATATTTGGTGTGAAATTTGACTATTTATTATTTATACTATCGAACTTTTTTTAATTACAGCTTCTTTAAAAAACTTTTTATTGACTTCTAAAAGTTATATAAAATTATGTTAGTAAATTTATGGTGTATTTTTTTTAGCGACTCTTCATTTATCGAACATACCAGACGACGTGTCTGAAGACCGAATAAAGGAAATCTTCATGAAGCAGAAGATGCCGGAAATCCTTTCCTTTCGGTTTCTAAAGTAATTTATTTATATTTATTATATTAATTTGCACTATTTCATGATCATCTTGTACCATTTATTCGTATGCAGTCCAAAAGAGCCAAAAGAAGGAAGGAAAATGGCGCTTGCCCAGTTTGGCAGCATTGAGGATGCAGTCTACTCACTCATCTTCATGCACGATTATAAGATTGACGATAAATTGAATCTCAGAGTCTCCTTTTCCAAGCTGGATTGCTGATATGATTTTTTTTAAAAAATATTATACATATTTAAAAAATAAAGATTTTTTTTTAAATATGCTTAACAATTAGTTTTATAAAATAAAGTATATATTTGTGCGGTTTGCTTTTCAAGCTAAGAGTTAGAATTGCATAACGTATATGAAAGTTGAAGCGATTCATATATTTGATGAGTATATCAACATTTCATTAATTTGTAGAAAACTAAGCCTCCAACTAATGTTAATTCTATCTACAAAAATAAATTACTATAAACTAAATCAAACTATTAATTACTTATACGATCACCTTATATATGATTTATATATCTTTGTGTTCTAGCCCTATATACTAGAATTAATAAGAATAACTCTATTAACTCTATTAAGATCAGTTCAGGCTTATAGACTGGGGCTTACAGTAAGAAGAAATAAATCACGAACGCGAGATTGAAGCTAGAAATAATTTTTTTTTTTTAGTACTGTCATACTACGGCCGTCTTCTTACTAAGACCTTAACCCGCTTAACTCTCTTACGGATAAATCTGGGGTTAAAATAAATGTTTATTTCTTGGAAATTACTTCCTATGTTGAAATTATACTTTAAAGTTTATTATTTGTTTTTAAAATTTGATTATATATCCTAATTAATTCAAAATAAAACAGAAAAACAAGTGATTACTTACCTCTAACCAAAAATAAACTTTTTACATCCAGAATGAAAATTTTTCGCGCAACACATGCTCAACTAAACGTTCACTGGTTACTAAATTTACCACTTTTTTGAGGTTTTGTGGGTTACTGTCTAATCCGTTTAGAACATGGTACTCAACTTACCAGAGATTGTTTCAGATACCGAGGTTGTCATTTAGGTTCATTTTCCATAGACTTACTCTCAAAAATTGAACTTAGGCGACAAAGTGGTAAACATAATAACCAGTAACCTATTAGGGGTTAAAAATCTGAATTCCCCTCCTCTGCAAGGGTAAGGCACGGGTGCCCGCTAGTGCACGCACTTTGGAGAGCTATAACGATTTCCTCGAAGTGTAAAAAAGCGGAAAATATCTGTCCAGACTCCCGCCATTCGGGCATAGTATATTGGAGAACCGTTAAAAGCCACCACCGGAGAAGCAGCTCTAGACACAAGACCAGAGCCCACTTGGAGACACTAGACAGCACCACTGCCAACCCGGCCTCCCCGATAGCTTCCTGTTAGGGTATTTAAACCTTTAAACCTTTTAAAATTAATTGTAAACAAATGTATATATACAGTGGAGAAGTACAAAAGTGACTAAAACAAAAAAAGCACTGAAAAAAATTAACACAACCGCCGTTTTTTCGTGAACCTTCATTATATACTAACTACTAAGCAATGAAACAATCTAAATAACAATCATAAAAACTGTCTAAAAATGGAAATTTGCGTTAAAACTTATGAACTGGATCTTTTCTAAACACTTCCTTTTTTTTTATTACAATAGTAGCGTTACATAGTTAGTTAATGGTACTTTTTAGAATAAGCCTGAACATTCTATATGTGCCCATTTGCATATCGTTTCATACAATAAAAATTAAATTTTCTGGCATCTCTAAAAAACCCACAAAAGGGCTTTTTCTGTAGAAATTTGCTAATACTGCACTTCTTCTTGATTTGCGTACTGTCATTTGCTGTGTGAGATCACTTCGTCAACATAATAATCCTACTGAAAGAAAAAGAAATGGATGTCAGGTAATGCAATTTATTAAGGATAGCGTGATTTGTGACTCTATACTATGACCTGCTTGAAGAACTTGCCTATACTGTTAATCCCTGTATTGCCACTTTATTAAGTTAGGGTGGAAAGGGACCAGCGGGGATTACAAAATTTTTAAGGCCTTGTTAAACCTGAACAATCAAAGGATAGTTCTTCTTGGTATCTTTAATCAGGCGAGGAATAACTTTTGCCTAGTATTACCAAGCTTTTTTGCTTAGCATAAATATTTCTGGCTAACAGCTTATCTTCATCTTGACTTTTACATTTTTCTTAGTGAAAACTATAGAAAATAGCTGAGTTGAAAAAACAACAGATGAAGTATTTGTAGCGCAACTTCTGCGCAAGGAAAGAAAAGTATTAAGACGAAAAGGCTAACGATCATGAAAAGAAAACTTAATTTTTATATTACACTTTTTAAATTATGTTGATTTTACAGACCGCAAGTCTTTGAGAAATAGATATAAAACAACACTTTTTATAATATAATAATTAGATATATTATAGACTTTAACGTAATATAGTTACGAAGTCAAAGGACTAAAGCACTGTAGAAAATTTATTTGATAATACCGGGCTCTCTAGGAGCACCAAACGATCTAACGGATAACAGGGAGAAAAAAAAATAGCAGAGCTTGCATGGGTCATAGCTATATATGCGCATGCAAACTCCGATTCCTATTATTACAAACAACTGCGAAGCCTTCACTATCTTACAGATGCACGAAATGGTGTATGCCCAGCAAGTAGAGTTAACTTTTGCTTAGTATTAATACGAAATTATTTTTTATTAACACTGCTTTGTGTTGTAACAACAGTGCAATATTATTTTGAAGTACCTTAAAAAAACATAAGTCGTGAACTATATGGTCCTAACTTCTCTATTTAAAAGTTTTCAGGTTAGATCAACAGATAATTTAAAGGAAAAGTAGACCTAGTGGCAAGAAAGTTTAATGGAATAAAGAAGGACTTTAATTTGAGGATATTTAAGCTAATTATGTATTTTAAGCAAAATGTGAATGAGTAGACGAAGAGTCTAATAATACTACATCCGCATTATGTAATATGGGCTACAGCTACGCAACGTTTAATTATACCTTTTTAGACTTAATAGCATTTATTTATCTTAATTACTTTCATAGCAGCAAATTTATACTTTTCTAAATACTCCGCTTAATTATAGATATTGTTATCAAAACTTACTAGTCAGATTTAATTCTCACTAACTTTAACCTTCTACTACGTAAGACCAAGATAATTACTACATCGATTCCCTTCGTTGTCACAGAAATTCTGGTTAGATATTTTTTGTTTCCATTTATAAAAACTATTTAGTGTTAAAAGTTTTTACAAAACTTTTCATCCTCAAAGAAACAACTAGGATTATTGCTCGATATTAAAGTAATTTTCTCACGAGCAGTCTTTACTATGAACGGTACAAAAGACAGCAGTCGATATTTATGGTTGATTTGCTTGATTTGCTCGTACTATGTGAGGGGGGGGGGGTGCATAATTTTATATTTTATGTGATGCTTCAGGGTAGGTGTTATTAAAAGGTAACGATCCCAAAGCGAAGCAGCATTGCTTAGAGAAGGTAGAAGGAGGGAGATAAGAAAAACCGAATAGATTCACTCTTACAAGGTTTGATTTTAAACCAAATCTAAAAAGTCTAAACGAATACTTTACATAAACTAAACAACTTTCGTGGAATTTAAAGCGTACCTGAGTCAACTTATTAACAGATTATACCGTAGCTGCAATAGATTTCAAAATCTAATTGACAAACAAACAGATTGAAACTTTTTACTGACGTCGCTCCGCAACTTTACTTTCGATTTCATTTTTTTTCTCAATTATTGAAAAACAGAAATTTAAATTAAATCTGCTATGACATTAAAAGACTGCGCTAGTAAATTGTAAGAAGGAAGGTCTCCTTTATAGTAGGATAAAAAAATTCCTTTATATTATATTAGAATTCTCTGCAGTTACGTCAATGTGTATATGCAACGTTTAACGTTGAACACTTGAAAAATAGCTTTCACAGAGTAGACTCGGAAAAAGGTTGTTAATAAGCCTTAAATGTGAAAAAATCTCAACACTAAAAAATTATAAAAATAAGTCAAGATTGTGTGATCCATTTCTAAAAGGCTAAAAACTTGTGGCACTGAACAAGTTCACACTAGTACACCGCTAAGATATATGTTAAAGTTAAATGCAAGTAAAGTTGAAACTTAATTTTAGATCCACTACTTTTGTTGAATTAACTAAAAATTCTAAAAACCTCCCCCTCTTCCTCCACCTCCGCAACAATCAGCATTTATTTATTTATTAAAGAGAGTTCCTGGTGCTCGACCGGGTTAAAAATTCGATCGAGCTCTCACTTAGGAGTGATCGCAGCTTTGTCATTCTTTTTTTACATTGACAAAAAAAAAAATAGCGCTTTAAGCACGTCTCGTTGGCGGCAAAAACGTTCATGTCCCATGGCTCGAAAATAAGTTCACTCACCAGCAGGCGGTTAATGTGCCTGGTGAGACTGTCGTAAAGGACCACGACATGGCGTTGGAAGACAATGTTTAGAAGGTCCAGCTGAAGGACCCAATGAAGGACCGCAAAAACCACAGCGCCAACATGCAGCAATTTGTTCTGTCGCACTTGAAGTGCCAATGCTATCGCAATGGAGTCGTAAGTTCAAACAGCAGAAGCGTGTGTCATTATTGGTTAGATGTAAGAAAAATACAATTGCCGTTTGTTTCGCAAAGCTTACTCTTGCCGCAAAGTAAAGGACAAAGTGCCTTGGTTGCTGCCTTGACCTTCGCCACTACATAGCCCATGTGAGGCTGCCAGAAAACTTGTCGGTGACTCCCAAGTATTTCGCTTGAGAAGATCTTGGAATCTTCACGGCATTAAAGATGAAGGGCACCCACGAAGTTACGCTTTTCTTTGAAATGAATATAGCTGTGCTCTTCGTCACATTTATGGTAACCTTCTAATCACGGCTCCAGGCAGCGAGGGCGTCAAGATAGCACTGTAGATGCTTGCATAGCAAGGGGGGAGACTTCGAAGAGAGATATACGATAGAATCATCAGCGTGGAGGGTGATTAGTGTGTGTGGATCGGACGGAAAGGGAAAGTAGCTTATGTAAATTGCAAATAAGAGGGGAGAGAAGAGTAGTACCTGAGGGTTCCCTGCTGTCAGAGATCGAGGGACCGTGTATCTCCTACGCGCAAGCTGAAGACGAGACTATTCAAATATGACTTCAGCACGTTATAAAGGCCATGAGGGACGGATAATGAGCGCAGTTGTGCAGTAGATCTTCATGCCAAACTTGATCAAATGCCTTTTCAACGTCAAGGAAGACAGAGCCTGTCGCCCTCTTATGGTTAAAAGTGGGAGGAGTTCATTCAGTTAAGCGGAGGAGCTGCTGGATCGATGAACGTCCTTGCCGAAATTTAAACTGAAACTCCTGTAAATCTTTCCGAGAGTCAACGACCTCTTTAAGACGGTGCAGTAAAACGGCCTCACTCACTTCGCCGGACGCTAACAGTAGGCTGATGGGTCGGTACTTGCTAGAGGCTGTTTCTGGTTTAAGTGTTTTTGGTAGCATCACAACGGTCGCCGCCTTCCATCGAATCGGAAAGGCGCCAAGGAGCATCGAAGATTTTATAAATAGGCAAAGATAGTACATCCCTATTAATGGCATTTTCTCCAGCATCCCATTAGTGATGCCCTCAGGACCAGGCGTTTTTCGTTTAGATAGCGCTACGACAATTGCTTGCACCTTGTCAACATTAGCTAGATTCAAGTGGCTCGTAGTTGACGGGGAGGGGTAAGCTAAGCTGATGGAACGCGTCATTATGAGCAGATGGCACTTTTTGGATAGCAAGAACATTGGCGAAAAGCGTAGCTTTATCTCCATAAAGCTCGGCCGTTATATTTCCTTCACGAAGGGGTGGTAGTGGTGCAAACCCGCAATTTTTGATCCTTTTAACAAATTTCCCAAGGCGGAGCGGCTGCTGCTGCCTGATACTGACATGAGATGCAATTTTTCCTCTCATTCATTGTTAAAATGGGCCACTAGTTTTTTTCTAATGCATTTGTGAAGTCGATTAAGCGCAAGTTTCTCTTCGGCGCTCTGTGACAATATGGCTACTCGAATTAGACGTCGACGTTGGCTATTCGGCGTCTTTAGCTCGTCAGACAGGCAGTCAGAGCTATACGTTACTCCACGAGTTGTCCTGGCCTGGCAATGGTAATGAGCCTTGTTCAGTGCGGTTCGAAAAGGGCAATAGCATCATCCAGTAAGGCGGGCGTGGACGATAATGACGAACACGGCGGCAGCGTGGTTCCTAATACGTCGGCATATTTGTCCCAGCCCGTAAAAAATACAGGTAATTGTCTTTGGTGTGTTCCCCTCTCACAAATCGTGAATAACTGGGGGGAGAGGAATTCGGAGAAAAGCTCGTGAAGGTCTTCAAATACCGTTGTGAGACGTATATCTTTATGTATGGTAATATCCAGTACGTCCATTGTGCCTGTAGTCGCCAGGTGTGTTGGTTGCTGGGGACCTAGCACGCAGAGCCCGTGCTCATCAGTATAGGCCTCAAGGATGTGACCATTCGAGTTATCGGCTCGGCTGTTCCATGTAGGATGCTTGTAATTACGATCCTCGCACAAAAAAGCAGAAGAAACACACCCAAAAAGGGCGGAAATAGCTTCCAAGGGGGCTTGTAGACAGTAAGTACAGGCACGTGCCCCTGGTTGGCCGCACAAAGGGAAACCCCCACTGCCTCGACACTTTGGAGGGCTGGCTGGCATAGACATCGGATGATGTGAATACTCCATTTCACCGAGACAGCCACACCCCAGCCGGGTGCATCAATTCTGCCTTGACGATACGCAGCAAAGTTGCACAAATTCTCGTTGATGGCGCACACGAAAATTCTTTGTCGTTGTAACAGCTCATGAAGCTCGTGCTTCTTACTCTGAACACCAGTTGCGCTCCAGAATAGGAGTCGAATGTGGCGGCGCGTCTTTGGTTTAGAAAGCATTGCAAATAGACCCCAGTCCTTTCACAATTTCAATGCTGGGTAAATTCGACCTTAAAACTACTAACAGCTGCCGTATTGTCGGATGCGACTGTTCAGCTTTTGCAGTAGAAGCATAACCAAGGGCCTTAGAACCTAACGGGATATTGGGCAAATCTCGATGTTTTTTCCTCAAACGAGACGCGTAAGAAACCCCCAGGGTAACAGTATTGTTTGTAGTTGGTGCCGACGAAGTAAACTTTGCGGGTTGGCTGCCTGCCTTACGCGGATAATAATTAGCGGTACGTGTCTCGCCGCATTTCGCACATCTAGCAGGTGGATTTCTTGGTTTAGCCCACTCTGTGGTCAAATGACCCCTCATCGCATTTAACGCATCGAGGTGCAGGCAAAAGCTTGCAGCGGTGGCAATGACCAACGCGACTGCTTTTTCGAAGTTCTATTTTGATTTGATAGGAAATAGTCCATCTCTAAAAGTTTTTGTCCCTCCGTTCTGGGTATATGCACCAGCACTAATGGTACGGACTCTTCGTCCGCACACCATTGACAGTCCTCCGTGTGCATCCGTGGCATTGGAGGGGTGTGAAGCCTTGCGCGCGCCTCCACGGTGGATATATCGAGTTCGCTATAAATTCCACGAATAAAAAACTCGTAGCTTTTCTTCAGGTAATTGATAGGTAAAATTTAGTAAATCTTGCTTGCGCATTATCGCTCTGGTCGCACGGTATTCTTGAGCTGCTGTCGGAAATATTTAAAATCCAAGACGGGTATCTCTCGACTCGGGATCATGACGCCGTTGGATTGCAAAAAATTTACAAGGGATCACTTTTGTTTTCCTCTTTGCAAGTTCGCAGGAGGGTTCCGCAGTAGGTGGTCGTTCATTATATAGAGGGACCGAGTCAGAAGCGCTGCCCAGCTCTATGCCCACGGTGTTTTGTAAAGCTTTTGAGTTTCTCTGGGTCTCTAATGATTTTCGGGTTGCCGTTACTTTAAAAGGGGGAAACTTACTAGTCTTTACTATTAATAAATCTATTTTTATTGCTACTAGTATTTTGCTAACTATTATATTATTATTAAGGACGCCAGTTTGGGAACTATTAGCCATAAAGTTATTGCTACTACTACTATTACCCCTAATATTAGCTATTTCCCCGTGAAAAGACCCGCTTTTTGTAACCTTTAGAGTCTCGCCGTCTTCCAGTACCACTTCCGAAGCATCTGGTTGATTTAGAATAAGGATGAAAATACATTACTGTTAGTTGTATTATCAATTGGCACCTTTCGCCCTTTAGACTTATTCTTGTCCTGAGTGTTTTTAGTAACTTCAAGAAGTTTTACCTTTGGAGAACCTAACTCTTTTCTGAGTTCTTCTTTAATAGCCAACAAGTTAGCAATGAATGCTCGAAGTTTTTCTTCAGAGGACGGACTCATAATTAATATTAAGATAATTATGTATTTTTTTAAAAAATAGAGGTTAAAAGGAAGAAAAAATAATAATAATTAAAGAAAATAATAATAAGTATATAATGTATATAAGGTCTGTAATATAAGGTCAGGAGAAATAATTTACGTAGTTTTAAGTTTTTTAATATGTATAAGTATATTTTGAATAAATTACTAAAAAAGTAGGTTAAATATCGCAAATTCCAAGTAAGAAGTTAGGTGCGCGGCCAAAATCACAGCTGGGCGGTTAGAGGCTCTCTCTCTCAGTGACTACCAGTAGGTAGGACTATCAGATATACAAAATCGCAGTGGGGTTGTTTTACAAACGCATACTATTATTCAGGCGTGAGATACAATCTATAACTGCTCAACCCTACTACTCATTAAGCGAGGGTGCAAAACCATGACCTACTTAACAAGTCATTGCGACTCAACAAACACGGATGCGTATTATTATTACAGATAACTATTACATATTAAGAAAGAAACAGCAGCACTGGATACAATATTAGCATAATTAAGTTTTAATACCATTATCCAGGCCGCGTGTACTTGGTGCACCAGCGGGAGTTTTAAGTAAGAGCTGCACAAGCAAGAGGCTTAGACCAGCAGCAGACATACATTCAATTTATTTAACAAAAACCTCTTTTTAATGTAATTTACCAACTATCAAGTTGGAAAACATGCCTGCCACATTAAAGCGACAGTGCCAAGCGGATCGTGAATTATGATATAAAGCATTATAATAGGCATAATGAGCCAGTATATGTTTTTTTTCCCTAAAGGTGTATAAAAGAGATAATGGAAAGACTTCGGAACCGCTCGCCTAAAGATTTATGGTTTTAATTTCATTAAATTTGCCCTAGCAATAAAGGTACTATCCGTAAGGTATAAAAGTCCTACCGTAATTAAGTAAATAGCGTCATATTTAAAAAGCCACATATGTTATTTCCTTATGCCTAAGTGTTTGGTGGGCGGTGTAGTACCACCAGATTTAAGTTTTATGAAAACGAATAAACTATTTTCAAATGCAGAAGCCTTAGTGTAATAACGACGCTTCTGTACTATAGAATCTAAAAAATTGTTCGAAATATCTCAAAATCTCTCGTGTGCCCTTTTAAAAACTAATGAAAAAGCACCAAAAACATTCCACTAAGCTTTCCATGGAAAATTAATTTTATAGATCCCGTCTTTCTGCTTCTTTAAGGATTTGCAGCTTTCGCCTCTAGACCTCCTGATAAAGTCGTCGGCTTTATATATTGTGTATTATATAAAAAGGTTCTATATAAAAATAATAGAGATGTGCCCATAACTTTTTATTATCTGTGGGTTAAACACTGATTTATAATTACGTGTTTAATAATTTCTCGATTTCTTGCTGTATGAATGCTGCGCATATTTTTTATATAAAATACGTTCAAACTATTATGTGTAGATGGAGAGTTATCCTATTGTGCTACTATATTTTTTATCTTATTAAAGTTTTTTCGTTACTCCCTTTGTCATATAGAGTAATTTTGTTTTTTTTTATTTTTTAAAATAATAGTTTTATATCTTTATTTGTTTCTCTATAATACCTATATATTTTTTTGCAGATCTCTATTTTACTTATTAATGCTACCCCACCGCTATCCTGGCACAAATCCATCCACTTATGGCCAGCCCGGCCACAGTTCCTCTATGAGTCAAACAGGCCATTCTCCACAGTTCGGCCAGCCCGGCTACAGTTCATCCATGGGCCAAGCTGGCCATACTTCGCAGTTTGGCCAGCCCGGCTTTAGTTCGTCTATGAGCCAAACAGGTCATTCTCCGCAGTTTGGTCAGCCCGGTTACAGTTCAAATTTTAGTCAATCTAATACGTCCTCACCGTCTTATGGCCAGCCTGGCTACGGGCAGACAACTTATTCTCAGCCGTCTTATCCTCCACAAGGTAAGATTTATGTAAAATAAATTTATCTAAAGTTTACCGAGTATCTATGCCATGCACTGTTTAGGAGCTTACAATACTCCAGGCTTGACTCAGGGCTATCCGCCTACTCTCCCTGTAATTAACGTGTCAACTTCCGCCGGTTTCGCACTTTTTTATTTATTATAATTATATTTGCTGCCAGCGGTACGCTGTTGTTTCCCCTAGTTTTTGCTAAAGACTAATTTCTTAAAAATGGTGGGGAAAAGTATAGAATCTAGTATTTTTTTTCTTCCGAATGCTTATAGTTTCCTGTTCTTTTCACCACTTTGTCTGGCTACTCACCCGGTTCTTTAAACAGCGTCGTGCTTTTTTTCTGGCTCATCGATGAATTATTTTATTTATGTGCTAATGTCTGTTGCAAAGTTAGCAATTTACTGATTTCTTACTCTTATCGGGTAAAGTTAATTTGATGGAGTTATTTCGCAAAGTTGATCGTAACGGAAGTGGTAGAATCTCTTCCAGTGAACTTCAATCAGCCGTAAGTTCATAAGTGGTGTATTTTATATTGTAGTTTTTTTCCATTTCAACATGAATAATAAAATGCTTAATTAATACGTGTACAACTTTTCGCGCACGTTCAACGACTTCTGATTTTTGGATTCCACGCAGCTTGCCAGCGGGATGCAGCACTCTTTCAACCCCGAAACAGTACGACTCATGATCAACATGTTTGACCGAAATCAAAGTGGAGAGTTGGAATTTGAGGAGTTCAAAAACGTATGGAAGTATGTGGAAGACTGGAAACATTCGGTATACGTCACGAAGCGTGTGTGCGTCTTGCCGCCTGTTGACACCTTTAACGAATTCCAGTTTCTGCGAGCTGATCACAACCGGTCCGGTTCCGTCGACCATCAGGAGTTGTCAGCCACGTTGCAGGCGTCCGGCTTCAATCTTTCCCCGTCTATCGTCGCCATGCTGATTAGGAAGTTTGATCGTTACGGCACTCACTCGATGGCCTTTGACGACTTTATACAGTGCTGCGTGATGCTTCAGCTGCTCACTAACGCCTTTAAGGTAGCTTACTTTTCTCACGGAATAGTAAGTTATTATTATAATTGGATTTTTGGAAGGCCGAGGACGTTAATCAAACTGGTATAATTCAGGTGCCCTACGAAAAGTTTCTCCATATGGCTTTTAGGTTCACGATAAACTTTTTTATCATAATTATTTTTATTACTTATGCACTTGTGAGCGCCAACGATAATTGCAGAAGGCCCCATAAAAGATTTTTTTTTAAAGTTTATGAATTCCAGTGTTGAAGCGAGTTCATATTAAAAAAAAAACTACATATAACTTTTGTAACTTATAAGAATTCGTTATTGTAAATGGCTAATCTTCTGAAGTGTTTGTGGCGGGACCTTTTCTTCACTATACTTTTATTATTTTTTTTAAGTTTTTATTTTTTTTACTGCCCAGTGTTAAGCTATAGACTTGAATCCTGTAGGACTACCGCTAGTTGGAAATTTTTTTAAAATGCAAAATGTCTCTTATAATAAATAAATTTACCTTAACCTTATTTTTCAAATTTATAATATCGTTATAAAATAATTGGTGCAGTCAGCCTCAGATTCTGACGTGACTATACATTTTAATAATTTTATTAAAAGTAATCAAGAATTTTTGCACCTTGTACTAGTAAATGAGCCTGGTTATAAGAGCGACTCATTTATATATTTTTCAATTACAACTGCAAGCAATTTAATTGTGATTTCTTAGACGCAGTAAGCCTTTACACCTTTTACCAGTGGAGTTAACTATACCTTTAGATTATCTTACTAGAAAGAATTTAAAGCGATAGTTTGTTCAGATCGTCTGGAAATTAAAAAAGAAATCTTTATATTTTTTAGTTCAAGATGGTTAGGTGATAGTTTAGCAGCTACTCTGAGTATCGCACTGTGTTAGTGCCGCATGGATAAGTTAAATTAATTATTGAATACGTTGTACTTTGCATTCTAAGCAACTGCAACACAGAATAAATGTACAAAGTTATAGTTATTATATTGCAAGTACGCAAAAGGTTATACTCATACACCCTTGGCTACATCCCTTCGATCCTTTAAAAAAACATAGGCTGTCGCCTACATAATGAATTGAAACTAAAGGATTACTAAGAAGAGGTAAAATAGTTGTCGTTGACTTAATAGCTTTACCTCAAGGTCAGTGGGCGACTGCTTTTAACTTAGAATCCAATTGAAGAAGGCAATTTAACACAAGGTCAGAACTTGGAGTTTTACCATTAAACTAATTACTTTTAATCCAAGAAAGTCAAATCAAGTAACTGAGACTTGAAGTCAGAGTTTTAATGTCCGTAACTGGTTTCTTACTTTATAAGATTACTTGGATAGAAAAATAGATTTACTTTAAAATAATGTAAATAACACTAGAAATGCTAGCTAATTAAAGTCGTCTAGCGTTTCTCAACGCGATGTAGGGCTTGTACGCCTACATTTAAAAGATAAATTGACTTACGTTCATGGTTTTCCAAAAAGTGCTACACTTTTATCACTTGTTTATAGTATGAGGACAGTGTTCAAGGGAAGTGCACATGCATATAAGGTTGGCTCGCGCACTCGCAGATTTTTTTCTTCGTTTGTTGTACGGTTGGGTTTAGTGCGTCTGGGAGCGTATAATAATCAAAATAAAAATACAGTGCTTCCTTGTACTATATTACTTCATTGTCTATTGTCTATAATATACTTTATATCTGTTTTATATTACTTTGCTGTCTATAATATAATGCAAGCTCTCGAAGACTTACAATCTGTGAAATCAACACCTAAATTTCAGTTGCATAATGGAGCTCCACAAAACCACTGAAAAAAAAAGAGAGTTGAGGGCTGTTACTCTTGTGCCTTCAATTGCTCCCGCATGTACTCAAACTTATCGGATAATGATAGTTATTTATCTTCTATCCACATATGCCTTGAAGCTAATTCCTTAATAAGATGTTTAATTAGGACTAAAGTGCGCCAAAATTTAAGTTTTATTTTAAGATCAACCTCTTAAAGTCAGTAACTGTTACAATCTATAGCCATACTGTTCACGAAGAAAATAAATTTTTTAATGGTAGATAAATCATATTAAATTGTATAATTTAAAGATTTATGGTAACACACATAGAAATATATTTGTAGAAAATTATTTTAAATAACATCCAAGCAATAACACTAGCTCTTACCAAATTGAAACTGTAATAAATGTTTATTTTACTAAGAGAAAAGACTGAAAGCTATGTTAGTGGACTTACCTTAAGGTAAAAAACTAAGGTTTACTTTGATCAGTTTAAATTCTAAAGTGTATATACCGTGAAACCGCTAGTCTAATGTGCAGGAGTTACGCAGCCAAACACATAATTGGATTATATATGGTTTCGTGTCATTATAGGCAATAAGAAATTAAACGGAAGTATTCCGAGCAAAGCAAAATGTGGAGTTTATAAGGTAATACATTAGTTCCTTATCTTAAAGACAACAACAGAACTTCTAAAAGTTAAATTCATAAGTTCTTTGAGATTATCTTAAGTCTGTCAATGTTTTAAGGTTGCTACCAGATAGCTTTGGTCTAGAGTGATGTCTTCTTAAAAAAATAATGCTAAAAAAGCTTATCGGTAATAAGGGATCTGTTTTAACGCAACATAGTACAAGTTTTAGACTTTAATTTAAAGCGCGCCAGCCTGCACTTTCATACGTAAATAAGATGCTATTCTACGAGAACTTTCATTCTAAAGTTACAACATATTTAAAAGTTATTTAATGCATATTTGTCCAAAAACGAGAACTCGCATACTTTATTTTTGATAGACCCAGAGGGATAGAATACTGTAACTTCCTTTCAACAATATTACCTTTGGCAGCGGTGGTCTATGCTGGTAATAAATAAAAGTGATCGCTCTGAACTCGTATATAACATATTACGGTAACATTTATGTGAGGCTTTAGTTTCTTGCCAGTTAAATTCCACTTGAATACATTTATTAGGGTACTGACCAAGTTAGGAAACCTTTTATGTTCAATCTTTTAGCACGTCCTCGGCTCATTCCGTTTATATAAACTTCTCACTAATTTTAACAGAAAAAGCGATTAAGTTGTATTATACAAAGTTCGCATATAAGGCATTAATTGTTATTTGCAAATATTATTAAAGATCTTAAAAATAGGTTTTTGCCTAGCCATAAAATTTTTATTATCTCTAGGTTGGCGTGCACTCTTAATTTGCGTAGGCAACTACTCCAGGTATCCATGGACAAGTGTTAGCCCAAAACACACTCTTCTCCCCTAGTGCCCAACTAAAGCGCCTATACAATGTAGCGAAGGGCAACAAGAATTATTTATTTAACAGTTTAATGGGGTTGCCCGCCAGATTTACTAACGAACACGCCAAAGAACTAACTACCACACCAGACTCCACCCTCGCACAAGCTTCAACGCCCACAAGGAAGAACTCCCTCCGAATCCTTCGAAGAAGCATTTAAACCCTACAACCTTTCGGGAACATTCAGGAACATTCTGCTACCATACACAAGAGAATAAATCAAAATAAGGATTTAAATAATACAGGGCATAAATGGTTGTTATGACCAAGAAAAGGTTGACTGAACTGTTTTACGAAAATGCTACGTTATTTGAGTTTACCATATACTTAAAAATAATTTTTAAGCAACTTCATTTGAACCGTTCAAGATGAACTATTGGGAAAAAAACATTTTGACAGGGTAATTTTACAGAAGTGTCTTATACAATTTAATAAAAATTGGGAACTTTTACTAAAAAATTAAAGTTTCCTGAACAAACGACCCGCTATTAGTGCACATTTAGAAAAAGTTGATTCCATCAAAAACATCTAGTCAGTCATTCACAGAGGAAGAATACTGGGAAAATCAGTAGTTTCGCCCTTTCAAGGCTATCAGAGATGACTAAAAATTTCAAAAAGTCATGGAGTTTTTATCCAAAAAATTTAACCTTTTGACATACACTACATAAGGCGATAATTTTATTTTATATTCAATGTTGGTTTATTAAAAATTTCGATAAGTTGTAACCCTTCCGTGGGGAATAACTGTTAGGAAAAATAACAATATGGTCAAATGACACTGTTGTATTTGTAAACAGTGAACTTATGATTAAGATGAAAAGGTATATCAAAGAGCTGTTGAATTTCTTCGTGTTTTAACGTTAGGAGATAGAGAAGCTCTGCAAGCTATATATAAACTCAAAATATGGCTTTATTCCAATTTTTATCCAGCAGTTTATCTACACAGAACTTCAAATTATAAAATTTACTGCCGTCCAATCCAATAAGCTGAATCCAATACTGGTCGCTTCTTAGGTGTCGGCTTTGAGCTTTCGAATGTACACGACGTAAATGTAAAGTGTTTCATTTATTTTTGATATTTAATACTAAAATATTCAAAATTTTAACTTTTATATAGTTTACAAAAGAATCTCATGACGTTTTAATAATAGTTATGTCATTAATTACTCGCAGAAAAGCTTCATAACCTCATTGCAAGTTATAATTGATTAATTTGTTTTAACTATCTAGTAGACACTTTTTACAATACTATTTTGAACCAGAACCCTTCATAGCATTAAGCTGCGAAGGCAAATAACTTATAAATTATAATAAATTAATTTTTATGGTTACGGTTAATTAATGCGATATTTTATTAACTCGGTTAAGTGCTTGAAGGGAGCCCTGTATGTAGGGGCTTTTCTAGAGGTTGCTGAGACCCATTGCGCACGGGGGAAGGTTTAGAGGTCGCCCTCTTTCAGTTTTGTGTTAATGAGTAAGCGGAAGGCTCGAGAAGTGCCCGAATCTTCTAAAAAGGTTAATGGCAATAAAGAAAACTTAGTTTCTTCTGTAAGTTTTTTATTATATTTAACAGTTTTTTAAATATTAGGTTTAACATGTAATTTTAATAGGCCCTTTTTAAGGCTGCTCCTTTTACTAGGGAACTGAGGGAACAAGGCATTAAAAAGAAGCCTGGTGTGTTTAATAACTCTAGTTGTTAGTCGATCTAGTTATTTTTATTATATCTAACTAGGTACTGTTAGAGTCTATTCGGACGGGATTTTTGACTGTTTCCACTTTGGCCACGCACGCGCTCTTCAACAAGCTAAAAATACCTTTTCTAACTGCTATCTTATAGTTGGAGGTTTACTTTTACTTTTGTTATAAAAATTGAGCCTAAGTAGGTTTTGAACTTTTAACTTTTAACAGATTGTTTTTTAGCTTAATAACTATTTACCTTTTATGTATAGGAACCATCTTATTATAGCTCTCTTTATCCCACTTTTTTTTTTACTATTCTTAGTTTGCGGAGATGAGCTTACACATAAAATAAAAGGTGATACTGTTATGAATGAAAAAGAAAGGTTTACTTTTAAGTAAAATAAAAAATAGTTTTATATTTTATATTATTTTGGTTTTAAGAAAAAAATAGGTAATTATATCTTTATAAATACTCTTGCACTTTGCCTCTAGCCTTAATTTTTTTCTAAAACTAAGATTTGAGGCTGTGAGACACTGTAGGTATGTGGACGAAGTGCTTGAATATGCGCCCTGGGTTATTACCAGCGAGTTTTTAGAAGACCATGATGTATACAGCGCCTCACTGTACAAGCTTTGAATCTTTTTAATTGTTTGCATAGATTGACTATGTTGCGCACGATGATCTTCCCTACGGCAGCGAGGAAGCTACCGATATCTACGGGCATCTTAAGTCTGCTGGAAAGTTCATTGCTACCCAAAGAACTGAAGGCTTTCCTGCACACAAGCTTTTTTGGGTTATTTTGTTTACTTGACTTCTCCCTCAGGAATCTCCACTTCGGATATCATATGCCGTGTGGTGCGTAACTATGATGTATATATCCGGCGAAACTTAGCCAGAGGATTCACAAGAAAGGATCTCAACGTCAGTTTTGTTCGGGTATATCTTTTCTCTTACCCTCCTTTGTCGCCACGTGACTCTATAATACTTGAAAAGGAGAAGAGAGCGCAAATTGCAAAGTTAACTAACGAGCTGAGGCAGCGCGTCAACAGCGGGCGAAGCAAACTCGAACAAATAGTTGAAAAGGTGATCCATTTCAGTTCAGCATATCTCTGTTTCACTTGAAAAAGTATAAATAAATTTACATAGTGGGAATCCAACTCTCAGAAGCTGATTAACGACTTTGTTAAATTCTTTACTATGTCAAAACTCACAGTTAACTTGCATATAACTACTCATACTTTACACAACTTTACTATGCTTGTTTATAAACAAGCCTCCTTACCCGAAAACTTCCTTAAAGACGTTACCTGCATCTGATTCTTCTTCCGAGTTAGACAGTAATAATGGGAGTGGGCTCCATGAAAGTGAAAGTTTTGATGATTCCTTGGAAGCACCGTCTTAAGATAGCCTCACTAGTAAATAAAAGTTTAGTTATTATGAATTTTTTATATATACTTTAGTTCAGTTCTCGAGCTTTAAATCTCTAACCTATGATGTTTTTTGAAATTTTTACAAAGCATTAGACTGAAAAACCGCTTTAGATAACTAGGTTCATGTTTATTTCTATCCGGCTACACAATCTTCTTGCGTATAAAGTTATTGCGAATAAAGGATTGTTGGGCGTTATTTAACGACTATTTTTGATTAAGTTCTATAAAAAATTAGTTTTTCAACTTAATTTTCTAACATAAACAGTGGATTGATCCTTTGATGAAAGAATAAGTAAGCTTCATATATAGGCTATATAGGAGAGCTTATATACTCGCAGCGTTTAGGTATTTGGGTTGAGCGAGAACACTTCGTTGCTGCAATAGATTAGACAAATTTGTTAAAGTATACAAAATCATAAATTTGCGTTCAGTAAGATAAATTTCTGAATCAAGTCTTAAAAATAAATTTAAAGGTTCATTTGAGGTGCAGAAACTTTATACGGTTAATAAATTAATCGCCGCTGCTAGGGACCAGTCTACTTCTCATACATTTTGGTTAGCTTTGGCTACTGTAAGATGTTGAACCGTCTTGGAGAGTGCGACATAGAGTGGTAGTTTTCCATCCTTTGACTTCTTTATTTGTTTTTCTGCGAAACGATTGTTCCAGTCGAAGATAATGTTTTAATAGAGCTAATACTCGAACATACCCTTTTAGAGGTCCAGCTCATCATAAGTCTAAGAAATGCTTTTAAGATACCTCTAGGATTAGACGAATTTAGTCAAGAAGTGAGTTTAGAAACTTTTAATGTTGCCTTGTATAGTGAAGTAAAGTCCCGACTTTATCTTCTTTAGCAACTGCCATCAAGTTTTAGTTTAATTCGCATAGGCATTTTTAATAATTGTGTCCATGTCACAAATATTAAATATAGTTACCGGCTACCGATACCAGAAAAAGTAGATTAAAGTAATAACGATGCATAAAATATTTGCGACAGCAGAATTTTCATGCTTACATACAAAAAATAGCTTACACGTTACTTAAATTAATAGTTAATTTGGATTGTTTGAAAAATTTAAATAGCCAGTTTCACTCCCTTAAGACGAGGATAAGGCTTTAAGTGGAAATTTTAAGCAATAACCTGCAAGAGTTTAAACTTCACCTACGCAAGGGTGTCGCGCTTTCTTTTAATTTTTTTCCTCACGCAAAAAACTAGGTTTTAGACTACAAAAAAACGAGATTTTTTGGTCAGTTTTCAGTTTTCATGTTGTAGCTTTAGCTAAGTTGTATAAAGCCCCATTAGTTTAGCCTTTAGATTCGAAACAGGTCAAGCTAATAACTCACTATAACTACAATGCTCCTCCTCTAGCTTTACTTTTTATGAAATGTTTGTTCCATATAAATTAACATCTTTATTACAGCAGATCTATTAAAACTAATATTGTGATTGTCTTTATAACGGTTACTTTGAGTTAAGTGTTATACCACTCCTAATACATCTCTAGTGCAATCCTATAATATAACTTAACTAACCACTTGTAGGTTCTAGAAAGACCACGTAAATAAGCAAATGCTTTTTACTGCGCAGGAGAGCAATGCTAACGTCACTAAGCCATATAAATTATTTTATTTAACTACTGTATAGAAGAAAAGCTTACAACTCCGAGTGGTCTTGTGCGCTGTCGTCGTTTCGGTTAAGGGATGCGATGATAGGATTGCACACCTTTTCCAACTCGTCCTTCTGTTGCCTCAACTCGTCGAGGGTGGCAGAAGGATTATTATCGAGAAAGGAGATGGCCTCCTCAGCAGCTTTGGTCAAAGTGTCCTTATCAGCTTCACTAAGCCGGTTTTCTTTCTCAGCAGGAGAGGAAAGCCTTTTATACCGGTAAGCAAGATTTTCAAGATCTTGCCGAGCGTCGACCACTTTCCTTCTTTCTTTATCCGTCTCCGCATACTTCTTAGCATCATCAATCATCTTTTTAATCTCAGCTTCACTAAGCCGGTTATCATCATTAGTAATAGTGATCTCTTGTTTTTTTCCCGTGCCCTTCTCTTCTGCCTTAACTCGGAGGATACCGTTGTTATCTACGGCAAAGGTGACCTCAATCTGCGGGACTCCGCGGGGGGCCGGGGGGATCCCCGTAAGGTCGAATTGGCCCAACAGATGGTTATCGCGCGTGAGCGGGCGCTCTCCCTCATAAACTTTTATAGTAACTGTAGCCTGGTTATCCTGAGCAGTGGAAAAAGTCTGTGTATGCTGTGCGGGGATCAAAGAATTCAGAGGGATCAGCTTAGTAAACACTCCCCCGACCGTCTCAATGCCAAGAGTCAAAGGAGTGACATCGAGGAGCACAACATCCTGTGCAGTACCTCCAAGAATGCCTCCTTGTACGGCGGCGCCGTAAGCCACGGCCTCGTCAGGGTTAAGCCCCAAATTAAGCTCTTTACCACCAAAAAAATCCTTCACCAAACTATGGATTTTTGGGATGCGAGTGGAGCCGCCCACAAGGATTACCTCGTGGACATCCTTGATGCTAAAACTCGCATCATCTAAAACTTTTTGAACCGTTTTCAAAGTGCTTTTAAACAAGTCGGCATTCAAATCCTCAAACTTAGTCCGAGTAAGTGTTTCAGAAAAATCGACTCCTTGGTAAAAGGATTCGACCTCGACTTTTGCTTCAGGTAACGAGGACAGACTGCGCTTGGCCTTCTCTACTTCGCGACGTAACTTTTGCACGGCAGCCTGATCCTTTTCGACATCTGCTTTGGTGGGATACTTTTTTTTCCACAACTGCACACAAATTTAAAATAACAATTTATAATCTTGAAGTTAAGAAAATAAAATACCTTTAAAAAATGTTCCATGACCCTTTGATCAAAATCTTGACCGCCCAGATGCGTATCACCCGACGTAGCAATAACTTCAAACACTCCGTTGTCGATGGTCAGAAGGGAAACGTCGAAGGTCCCGCCGCCGAGATCGTACACCAAAATATTTTTCTCAGAGTCCTGCTTGTTGAGACCATATGCAATAGCAGCCGCCGTGGGCTCGTTAATTATACGAACGACGTTGAGGCCAGCTATGGTGCCTGCATCTTTAGTAGCCCTTCTCTGAGCATCGTTGAAGTAAGCCGGTACAGTAACAACAGCTTTAGTAACTGTTCTATTTAAATAGGCCTCTGAAATCTCTTTCATTTTCCTCAAGATCATGGCCGATACTTCTTCGGGGGAGAGTCGTGTAGGCCCAGAGGAAGTTGTGACTTCAATGTGAGGTTTATTGCCTTTGTTAACAACTTTAAACGGAAAATATTTAATGTCTGACTGGAGCGATTTGTCGGACCACTCACGCCCAATAATGCGCTTGGAATCAAAAATAGTATTAGTAGGATTAGCAGCCAACTGGTTCTTGGCTGCATCACCAACTAAAAGAGTGCCGTCCGGGGCAAACGCCACGTAAGACGGAGTTATTCGGTTACCCTGATCGTTAGGTATGATTTGCACTCTTTTATTTTCGTAAATCCCAACGCAAGAATAAGTGGTTCCCAAGTCAATTCCCACTATTCCAAGCCCATCATCCCCATTCTGGCCATCATCCGATGTAGTACTGTCCCAAAACAAGTAAAGATAAACAAGAAGTTTTATACAAAATAAATCACAGGCAAATTCTTATCATTTTATTAAATAAGAAAATAACAAATAAACAGCGCTAAAAGTATCATAACAGAAACACGCATTAAAAAAAAAAAATTTAAGTTAAACAAGAAAAAAAAATTACCCGTGTACCAGGCGGAACACATAAAAAAGAAAAAGAAAAGCCCACATGACCAAAAAAACGGGACGTCGGCAGTAGCCTTTCGACAGAAGATTAACGCCTGCTTTAAATAATTTTTTTTCATATGGCGAATAACCCTCGGCCACTGGATCGTATATGTTCCCGATAATTCATCAGTTAATCTTAAGGAATTTAGAATAATGTGCCTCTCTTTGCAACTTCAGTACGAACAAAAGTATAAATGAAGAGGAAGCCACGAAAAGCTCTATTGTAGCTGTATACTCGTTATTTGCTAATTTAAATCAATTATATATTACAAGCTTAACATATGAGCTGAGATGTATCCCAGGCTATAATTCTTAAAGTTACCATTTGCAAAAAATCTGATAGTTTGACTGTTATAGTAAACAATACTATTTCGTGTAAGATTGAAATTCTAGTTAAGGGTAATTTTCAAGAACTTAGAAACTAAGTTCTTGTTTGTATATATTTACCTATTTGTTACCAGAAACTTGCCGTGCTTTTTTAGTAAAGTGTCTCCAAACAATAGACACACTTAAATGGTTTTATATTACTATACTTATTACAATATATATAGAGTAAATATTTATAAAGGTAAGGGTAACTTTCTTTAGACTCTATTTTCCTTAGAGTTGACAAAGCCTGAAAAGTTTAATAGTTGTTTGTGTGCTCTATCTATTATTAATATTTTTAAAAACTTGTGTTTTCTTTTATTTTATGGTGCACTGTAGTTTTATAGTATTTTTTAAAAATTGGCTATAAATACTGGCTTTAATGCTTTCCTTACGCAAAATTTTAGAGAGAGTGCATCGAAGCAGACTGACACAGGGTGTTGTACAGAAGTCGCCCATCCCTTCAACAGTCTCAACATGCAGCCAAGCGAATATTTTTTTATATTTAACATAAACGCAAATAGGTACTTCCTGAAATCTAATAAATTGTGGCCACACCCTCACCCTTACTAAGGGAATTCGTCTCTGTAAGGTTTTATACACAACGGTTAATTTTTTAGAACTCTGAAAAATTTAGAAGCAAAAAGAACATTTGTTTTGAACAAATGACAAAAGTTAGGGTGCCCACCAGTGCTAACTTTGCCCACAAGCAATTGACCATGAGCGAATGTATTTAGCGTAATCAGATTCGCTAGTTTCCTTTATCTCCTATTGTTCTCGTATAGGAAAAAGTCCTTTAATACATCTTTGTAGTGTTATCCTTAACATATCTAGACGTACTTAAGTGTTTGTTTCTTTCATTAATATATGCTAGTGCACGGTACTTTTGTTACATTTATTATTGGACTCATGCGATTTGGGCACTCTTGCTTCTAAACTAACGACCACAGGCCCTAATTTAACGGATGAAAATGTAGAAATATAATGACAGCCCACTTTAATTTTTATGCTTTTCTAATTTCTGAGGTTTTATAAAACGTAATGCACCAAACGCACCACCTTACAGTTTAGCTTTTCCCCGAAGTTGAAGGTGAATTGGACGGTCTGCCGAAACTTGGCCGGGTAGTACGTGTACAGTAAAAAGTATTATGAGTGTGATTGGGACTCTTTGAAAAGGAGAGCCCCCTAGGGCACACCTTTTGGTCTGCCTGCGTTTCTTGAGGAATAAAAATATATTTGAAGTGTTCTACTATATAAACACTTTATTTTGGCTCGTTGCAGTTTGATTAGTGGTCGTCTACTTAGTTATCCGCCTTGTATGGAGGTCAGTCGGTGATTAATTTAATGTTTTTGATCTTTAGTATTTTATTGAATCTTTAGGAAAGCTTTGTTCCGCCTCCTATAAATTTTAAGTTTCAAGTTCTTGACGTTACCTTTGCTCCCTACGCCAAATATATCGCTTCAGGACTTATTAACGGGGGAGTTTATGTGTATTTTTCTATTTTTCATATTGGTTTCCTTTATATTTTTATCAGTACGTCCGTTTTGTCCATTTGCTATATAAAAACCCACTAGACATAGCTATGAGAAGGATGCACACGAATTAAAATGTCATTGGAAGGCTTTTAAAAAGTCATGTCGAGCTTTGCACTTTTCCCAGGACGGGAGTGGTATTTTTATAGTCGCATCCATTTTTTTTTATAATTACACTATTATCGTTTCTAACAAGTTAAGTTTTTACAAACATGAAAACAAACAACTTTTACTTTTAAATAATTTAGTTCAAAAAAAGTTTATCTTAAGATAATAAAACAAAAGTACACTTCGTTTCAGTTATGAAGATGAAACAAAAGTTTGAATTAAAAGTTTCACCAGAGGTCCTATTTAGTACAGTTTGTGCTACACACTTCACGCGAGAGCTTTTACCCTTTTTTTAAACTTTTCTTCTCATTTCATCCACTTGGATAGCGCTCTTCGCTGCCTCTCGAGATCGCAGTCTTGCTCTACTCGATCTCTCCACCGGCAACGTTATTAGTAAAAAGAAGCGCGCTCATCTGTAATTTTTTTTTAACTCTCCGCTCTTCTCTTTCTAAAGACGCAATTAAATATTCTACTCTCCTTCCGAAAATTTCAGACACCCCATCAATGCACTTCAAGTCCTAAACGAGCACTTGCTTGTGACAGGGGACGATAACGGAATAATAAAGGTGCTTGCCCTTTTTCATAACGTAAATTAACATTCAATAAAACATTACTGCTAAGTCCTGGGATACCAGAACAGACAGAAGTATCATGGAGCTGTGTCACTGTGCTGATTATATATCTGCCTTTTCCTTTCATTATCCCACCAAGACTTTATTAGCGACTAGGTTTTTAGTGCTTTTATTTGAATAATTAGTAATTTAATTATACTAAAAGTGGCGATGGCACCCTCTCTGCAGTCAATATGCGTAAGAGAATTTTAATAGAAAGGTAATAATTTTTTTTGACTTTTTTTATAAAACCTTATCTTCGCTAGATCTATTGGACTGGACGAAGAGCTTTCTTCAGTGGCTATTATAAAAAATGGCACAAAGGTAGTCTGCGGCACTCAGAACGGTTTTTACTCTTCGTCTACAAGTATTTTCGTAAATATGTTAGCTTAAATGGTTTCCTAATAAGGCTCCTTGGACATTTTCTCTTGGGGGGAGTGGCGTGATATTAGTGACCGGTTAGTGGGCCACCCGGAAGCTGTTGATTGCCTGCTCGCTGTGGACGAGGAAACCCTTGCTACCGGTTCATCGGACGGCTTTATAAGGTTAATAGGCAAAATAGAAACACTAAGCGACTCAAAATAAATCCTATTTAGAATAATTACGGTGCAACCCCACAAGTTTCTGTGCGTTTTGGGAAAACACGAAGATCTTCCGGTGGAAAAACTTTGGTCCTTTTTTTTTGACCGCTTTGCATACGCACAGACGTAGTAACATTGTCTACCAAAGTCTTTCGGAAGATCGGGAGCTTTTGGCTTCATGCTCACACGACTGCACCGTGAGGTTTCTTTCCCCCTGGGTGTATTTATTTATTAAGCTGCTTGCGCTGAGTGGATTTGTGTCCGTGTTTAGGTTCTGGGGCGCAAGGAAGTGTCACTCTACTCGCAAACCACTTAAAAGTTTGTTTTTTCTATATAATAACTACATGACTACATTTCATAAACACCAGAAAAATGTTTGGAGTCGTTGATGGCCACCAAAACTGCATCAAGTATGCTTTCCAGGAATTTTTATGAAGATTTTTAAACGGTCGCCACTATTGTTAATAAAAGCGATACCCACGGCTGCGCCAGTCTCTTGTATATTGGTGGCGTCACCAGCTTTGTGGAGTGAATCCGCTTGTTATAATAATGCTATCCCACTTCGGTATGGCGTAAAGCACGTGATATAGAAATGGGATTTATAAATACTCTGGCTATAGCGCTTTATTGCTTTAAACAATAAGTCCTTCTTCGCTTCTCGTCCACAGCCTCCAGATAGTAAGAGCCGGAAGCAAGGTCATCTACAGAGCCGGTGGGTCTATACGGTGCCATGCCATGCGCCTCCTCCCTTTTTTTCAAAGTATCTACGAAAACTTCCGGGGACAAGACTAAGCGGTGTTCTAATTCCTTGGCTAACCCCTCGAAATGGCGATACACTTGTGCTTCAGGGTCACAAAATTCTATGGGAAACATCGAGGAGGCGAAGCCAGAGCCGTAGGAAAACATGCAAGCTTTCTTTCCGCAAAGGTTTCTCCCCCGCGCTGCTATAAGCGAGATCAGCCCGCAGTATAACGAAGCCGTGTAGGTATTTCCCAGTTCTTTGGCAAGCAGCAGTGACGGCTCGACTTTTTCACAGAACTGCTTTTCAGACAATGCAAGAAACGTTTTATCTCTGTCTGCACTCTCCTGAACACCCTCAAATTTGAAGCAGTTGGGGTCAACCTTGAAGTCGCTATGAAGCATTCGAGCAAAGGACTTCCTCACCAGTTTGGTAAAGGGCGAGTGGAAGCAATAAAAATCGGCGATCCAGTCAAGCGGGCTACCAGAGCAAGATACATCTCGGTGGCTCTCGGCGCTGGCGGAGAGATGCCTTTGCTTGGCCACGTAACGACTATAGTTCACCTCTATGGCCTCGAAATAACAGTTAATGGATAGCGATCCGTCTACCGTAGGATATTCGGAGCACATCTCAGCCTTGTAAAAATCATAAGCGTGCCGAAAATGACTGACCCTAGCAGTGGAATGGACTACAATGGGTGCACCCGGTCCGACTAGCATGGCGCACCCCGCGACACCGCCTACAGTAAAAAATAGGAGTTGAGCGGTGTTGGATCCTTGTAGAGAAGATGGATACCAGTGGGGCGTGCGGGGCCGGCGGCATACACTGCAATGTCAGCGCATATTACTACGGCATAGCGGCCGTCATAAGCAGAGCTTTCGATCCAAGCCAACGAATTGAAGAGAGCCTGCGTCCCCCCGTAGCATGCGTTAGTGGTGTCAAGGCCTTCTACGTCAGTATTTCCGCTTTCTTCAAAAAGTTGCATGAGGTTTGTCTTTACCGACTTTGAGTGATCTAAAATTGTCTCTGTCCCTACCTGATAAAATGATATATTAATTATGAAAGTTAGTAAAAAAGATATTAGCTAGAAAAACTTTTTAACCTCTAGTCGACCTATTTGAGTGTAGTCTATTTTATAGTTTTTAACAAGTTTTGCTAATACTGTCAAGCATATAGAAATAATGTCTTCTCTGTCATCACAGAAACTCATAGTTGTTTGGCCAAGGCCCACAGTGTACTTACCCTGACTGACACCTGTAGAAAGTTAAACAGGAAATTTATAAGCTTACTATTAATATAGTTAGCGTGAAAAGGGACTACTTACGCTTAAAGTTAGCACAAAAACATAATCTAATTATATATTTTTTTAAGTAAAAATACAACTACTTACTAATTACATAATAGGGAGGCAACCTTCTACAAAAAAAAAATCATTAAGGCAAGTACCACCACTCTTACGTTAAATAACTCCTTAAAAGAGCAAAAACTCTCTTTACAGTGTGTACAAGCATTCAAGTATTACCATCATATTTTTCCAAAGCATGTTGCTTTACGCACTTTCTGGGATAATAGAGTTCCATCCCTATGATACCAATGTTTTCGCGATTGGTTTTCCTCGAGAGAGTCATGTCGTAGTAAACACCAACAAATTTGGATTAAAGATTAAGTATAATTCGGGCCACACTCCCTTTAGGGTTAATGTATATATATTGGCAAGCAAGGAGCAGCAATCCAAATTTCACCCAGGTTCACTAATCTCTAGATATGGAGGACGGCTTCAGAAGATTTATAACATACTTATTTTAAAGCTAGCCGTCTATTGGGTAAACTGAACCAAAAGAAATCTGTTTTCGTATTCGTTATGTAAATAACACGACCCAGCGACATGCATGCTTTAAGAAAAAGTAATTTAGACCAATTAACTTCCATCTCATACATTACATTGAAAATTTTTTTTATTGAAAAGATTCGCCAAGCTCTTAAGACATTTCGAATTAAAGATTGATTTGTACCTTAGCTATAGCTTAAAACTTTAAAAAATATGTAATCTTCTTGTTCGCTTATATTTTTAAACCTAACACCATTTGAGTATTCATATATGTTGAAGTTGTGGATGGTTAACAGATATTTAAATATGAAAATTCGGCTATTGGTTTTTTAATTGATTATTACGAAATTTTTATAAATGCATAAACGATATAAACTAAATTCCAGGAAAATTGCAAAATGTAATAACCACAAAGGCTAGGTGACATATAATTATTTGTTTAATTCTACTAAATTATTTATAGAAGAAAAATCGTTAAGCTAGTTAAATTAATAGTTACTTACTCCAATTTTAAAGTTTCTTTAAATTGAGACTTTTTCGCGTTTAAAAAAATGTTATGCAGACCAGAAAACATTCGACCTTTATAAGATTCAACTAAAATAAAACTATTTAGTAGTATAATTTATGCTAAAGATTAGGACAAAATTATCTTAACAGCTGGATGGTGCTACAGTACCGGTAGATGGGTTTCTCAAAGGGTCACTAGGTCACTACCAATCGTAGTGTAGACAAGGTTGAAAAGAAAAAAGCCAGCCCGGTGTCTTACCGTGCTCTCTTCCGATTAACGGGAGCAACTGGATAAGATTTTTTTTTTGCATTTGTAATTCAGCATTAACAAGCATACTTTTTGTTAGATAATGTAAAAATAAAGAAGTTCAAGTTATGTTTTTTAATATCGTTATTATAGCTTTGAAACCAGGTTATTTCTTTTTAACGATTATATATCCAAAGGTTTTGGGTTAGCCCTATAAATGCTGATCCTTTACAGACAATATTTTATTATAAACGTGTAATTGTCTTTAAAAGTAAATGAAAGAGAGCATCTTTTTACCGTCTTAGAGATTTTGCGAGCAAATGTAGCCAGTAGGAGACCTTGTATAAATTGTAGCCAACTGTGAAGAGTCTGTAGACACCCTTCAATCTTGAAATTTAATCTCTTTGTGGGGCACGCTTTGGTCTTGTCTTTTTGTCTTCTCAGTGAGGCACTTTTCAAGCTCTGGTGGAAGCGCGGGCTACTTGCTTACTCTTTCTCTTCCTATTTTGCTAAAGAGGCGCTATAGTTTAATGCTAGTGAACTACGTTCAGACCTGGAAATAGCTTTTTCTACAAAATTTTCCAGCCGAGGTAGTAGATAGACTCCACCGTTTTACTTACTGCTATAAGAGGCTAATGGGGCGATATATGCTTACAAGTTATAAACTTGAAAAAGAAACACTCTTGTTAAGACAACAAGTCAAAACTAAATTATTTTTATTTGTAAATATTATTAGAGCGAGATTGGTGCCTCCGTGTTACAAATTAAATGTACATCACTAACCCCTTTTTACAACTTTTTAGTTTCCCATTTATTTAACATTAGTGCTAGTAACAATAATAGGAAAGTAAAGCTTATTTTTACCCATAAGCTCATTTAATTTATACTAAAAAAAAACTTTGCAAACAAAGTTTCAAGTTAATATTGCCTTTATTATGTTAGTGGAGACCACACTTAATAATTTTTAAACTTTTTTAAGCGGTAGCACCTTGTGTGCTCTAAAGACTTAGCCACTTTACAATTACGAAGTTTACAGTTCTAAAAATTTTGAAAGCGATCTCACGCTGCACTAAATATATATTATAAAATCAGTTTTTAAAACATCTATATAGCTTAAAACGCCTCCACCTCATTATTCTCTAATCCTTCGAAAGACTGAGACGAAAGTATGTACCAGAAATCCTTGGAACTAAGACCTGTAAAACTTACAAAATGTTGTTGAAAACCCCTTTTCACTTCCCCTGCAAAATTACCCTAACAATTCTTTGATAAAAAAGTATTCGCCACTCACTTACCTTATATAAAACTTAGAGTTGAGAGCGTCTCATAATGCCTTCCGGTACTTTAAAGAAACCGCAACGGCGTATATTAAGCCTTTATAGCTTTAACAGTTAAATCGGTTTATATAAGTTGGTTAGCTTTACCAAGAGAGAAGACCCCTGCGAGTAAACAGCTCCAGAATGCTATACTTGAGAAATAACTACTCTGAAAGGACTAGTCAACACGCTGGTAATAATATCTCTTCCCTATACTAGATATCCCACTTTAAATTAAAAGGTTTTGCTCTGCTTACGTAGATAGTTCAAGTCAATTGCAAAAGTTTGTCTATATTTTCTTTTAATGTATTATTGAAAATGCTTCAAAGGTAAGAATAACCTTAAAGTTCGTAAGTGTAAAGATGCAGAATCAATAAAAACGAGCTAAATCCACACATCTCTAATAACTTTATGTGTGCTATTCCACTTTAGCAACTGTTCCATGGCCTCTTCCTTGGTAACTTCTGCAATTAGTTAACATGAAAAATACTCTTTAACAGATAAAAATATATTATAAACCTTTATATTGCATGAGAATTTCAATAATAGCAATCTCCACTTCCTTAATCATCCGAGACGCATCTCTTTCAATAGCACCATCAGTATATTTTTAAAAATACTAATATTAACAATCTACATTAACAATCTTATACCTACCCACATATGTAAAGTACAGCCTCCTGCTCCATTAGTTGAACAATTTCTTTCCCATACTCCCTCAGTTTATGTTGTACGTATCTTCACACAACTCAGGCACATGTTTTTTAATATCAAACGAAAAATAACATTTTTTCAGAGGTTTCTCTTGAAAACGCGGTTGTCAACTTAGTAAGAATTTCCAATTCCAGAAAATATTTCAGTTCAGCTTTGAATAAGAAGTCATCTTTGGAAGTGCGGCTGAGGATTAAGTTAATTACAAAAACTTAATTACTGTAAACTTGAAGTTTTGAAGAAGAAGTCGACTGTAGAAAATATATAGCACAGCTTAAAGGAGCAGTACCATCCAAAAAAAAGCCATGTGGGACCCAGTCTCTTAGCGAAGCGAGGTGCCAAGGGAGGTGCTCTCCAAGAAAACTGGTGGTGCCCCTGCTGGGCCAACTGTGAGTGCGCCCAGTTGGGGTCGCTATTGACGAGCTGTCTGTAGCGATGACGTAGAAAACTGATAAAAGGGGCCACCCCTTAATGTTATAAATTAAAGTTTTCATAATATTTAAAGGATAATAGATGTAAATTAAACAGGTCTACTAGATATGCGTTAAGAATTAGCTACCAGTTCCGGTGCAGACCATTATTATGGGTGTCCGCAAATTATCAGGCAAACTAATTGTGGATTACAATATAGTATATTTCTAATTTAGTTAAACTTATTTTAAATAATAAACCAAAAATATCTGGAAGGCCTTAAAAAAACCGTTAGAGGTCTAGAAACTACATTGTGGTTACTTAAAAAATAAGAAACATTTATGTGCAGGAAAGTACTAGAAATTGTTTTTCCAAATTGCTCAAGCCAACCAGTGCAGACGCCTTTGTTTAAAGGCGGACAAGTGTTAGGAAACTCAACAACACTAAAGACAAACTATAATGACACAATAAGAGAAACTAGTAAAGCATAACAGGTTAAAAACTAGTCTTAGGAATTTAGTAAAAACTTAATTATAACCCTTTACATATCACCCTCACAGGTATATATAATAGTTTAACGCAATACTTATCTCGACAAATAGCATTACAAGATCTACCAATCTAGCGATATATTTTAAATTTTTCTAGAGGGAATACAACGACAAAGAATTGACATAAAATAGGTATTTATTATCAAACGAAAGAAGCGACCTCTATAAGATAAGGATTGACCAATGGCGAACTACAGGCAGAATAGTAACGCGGATTTAAAGGAGGTAAAAGTTCCAAAAGTCTCTCAAACGGAATGTTCATACTCGGCCACTTGCTTAACAGAGACAACAAACTTCCGCCAGAGCTCTGGCACAAGCTGGAATACTCTAAAAGACCTATAAGTATATAATAGGCAGCACACTCAATAGGACAACTCTGAAGTATTTTGGTGGACACCGCTCCTACAACGAGTTGAATATCTTTGTTATCGGGCGCACTGCATAGTATGTTTTTAGAAATACAATAGTTTCCTAGTAAGCAATGCAAGCAAACTTTTTCAGGTAGAATATTTAAATATGACGTCTACCTAAAAATAGCAGAAAAATTTTAAACTCCGTTAGCACTGAATATTTCACACGGAGATATACAAAGTTTAAGGGCACTTAGAGTTGCCCGGTGGGGATATGCTAGAAGGCTTTTAATAAATCTGTGACGAAGACTAACGCAAACGACATGAAATTGAGTACGTCACCGCTTTTATCAGAAAATATTTAAGTTTCCTATAATGCAGAGTAGGTCGGAAAAGAAGCTAACTGACTACTTTAAACGCAGTATCATAAGCCCTTTACTGAAAACTGCCACTCTCAGCAAAGTTTTATCATAAAATCTTAGAGTTGGCCTAACAAAACTGTAAGTCTTCAAGTAATAATTCCTATTTAATAATTACTATTTTTAATAAGATTGCTGAAACTGAAGCGGAATTTATTACCAAAATTGCTACTGCCTTAACCCATAACAAGTAATGATCCCTCAAGCGAGGAGAGTGAAGAAATTTCAAAAAAAAAATTGTAACCTTGAGGACTGCTAAGGAGCAAACACTGACTTCTCTCATGTAGATCTGCGCAACACTCCGCAAACGCCCGCAAGGTCGTCTAAACAAGTAAAACAGGCATAAAAATCGTATCGAGCACCAATTATAATTAGAGACTCTCCTGGGGGGTCGCCGAATATCCACAAAGTTTGTCAGGATCGACCGGGGAGAGTGCCCGCTCGGTGGTAGATGCTTCGGAAGTTCGCCTTATAAAAAAATTAAAGCAGTACAGCTTAGAAATTTTCAGCAAGAACGCCAACTTCGGTAAGCTTTAGGGCGAATCTGCAGTGTAAAAGTTTGATCCGCAAGCGAAGTCAAATTTAAACGACTCAGCAGTGCATTCACTTCACTTTATATATAAAATAAAAACACTGCAGTCATCAAAGAAGACAAAAACAATGATACTCTTTATTATTGCGACAAACAAAGCCAAAAGCATCGCCGGGTTTATAGCGGCAAGGTAGATCCTCAACGGAAACGACCATCTTAAAAATTTAGAAATAATTTTTTTAAATTATAATTGAGAAAAACCTTTTTCACAACTTTTACTGCAGACTTTGATGTGATCGTCTTCACTTCTTTAATAAAAGCTTTAAAGAAATTTTTTTTTTGGCGTGGCCACTCGGTGGACTGATAAGCGCATATTTATCGAGTAATTTATACGCGTTAGAGATATTTCTTATTAAATGTGTTGTAAATAATTAAATTAATTTACTCGTAAATAACAATTTGAAAAATAAATTTATTGACGTTTATAAAAAAATTAAATTTACAATAAAAGAATGTAAACTTTTCTAGATAAATATTTGTTATTAAAGTTAATTATATAAATTAATAATAACACGATAACCATGTAAATCTTATTAGATTACTAAAACAATTATGCAAACTTGAAAAAAAATTAATACCAACGAAAATCTAGTGAGTGTATAATATTTAACAAAATTAAAATAAATAAAGAAAATAAATTACATCCCCCTCAACAGAAGTATTTAAATCAAATTTAAGAGAAAGAAAGGGAGATGGAAACTTCGGAACTTGAAGATCAGTAATTTGCAAGTTCTTATAATAGTAAAAGAAGATAATGTCAGTTTTTAAAAATCTTGTTATTTATAATTAAAATTAACGGAGAAAACCAACTCAATTACTTATTAAATTTAAACAAAATATATTTTGCTATACACTATTGTACAAAAATTTCTATAAAAGATTCGACAAACATATGTGATATATATAGACGCAATGAAATTTACAAGCCAAAAATAAGACCACGTTAAACTTTACAAAATAATTTACCACCAAATCCCGAGTAAGCGCGAGAGTGGGGATGTCGAGACTTTGGCTTTCTCCTTGAGAAACTTTGTTCAGTTCGTAAATTAAACGGTCAAGCCACGGATAGATCGAAATTTCTATCCTTTTGAAAAAAAATGCAAAGAAAAAGTATAATTTCTTATAAAGTAGTCACACAATATTAATAGTTATTTAAAAGTTTCGGGGCGATAATATAAGGATTCATTAGTAACTTAAATGTTTACACAGGTAAGTGAGTCTTATGACTTGGTATAGATTATTTTAGTAAAAAATTTGTTAAACGAATTTATAGCAAAGATAAAACGATTATAAGTTTTTATTTACACCAAATTTATATATATGTTATAAAAAAAATTTTAATAAAAGTAAAAATACTGTAAATTGGTACAAGAAATTGAGAAAAAAGACAAGAGTAAAAACAGATCTTTAGTAAAATAAATTAAATAAAAATTAATAAAAATATAAAAAACGGGTGGGATTCAAATAATGGTCGCTGTGAAGCTAAATAGAGGCTAGAAAATTAAGAATCTTCAACTGTTTTATGCTACCATTACAAAATAGGGATAGGAAAGAGTTTTATTATTTACACACAAAAGAAAAGGAACACTTCACGGACTAAAAAAAATAATCACCCGACCGCATCATCTGCCATACAAGTCGATAAGAAACAGACGGCACCTCCTCTACTTAGTTGTTGCTCTAAAAACTTGGCAGCTCCACAAAATGTACTATATGTACTATTTCCGAGGCCTTGCATTAAAAGGAATTATAACAATACTTAACCAATAGCCTGACCAAAGAATTTAATAATAAAATAATCAAAGTTAATTTTATTATTCAGAGATGGGATGAAAAATTTAATTGTTAGAGCATTTACTAAAGCAAACGACAAACAAACCTAGTATTGCATAATGTACATTGGAGAAAATATTCTTTTCAACTCTACTTATTGCCTTCCACAACTTAGAAAGAAAAAAAAATTTATTCAGACAATCATAAGTTGATAAAAAAAAAAGAAGAAAAGAAAAAGTTGCAATACTTCTTCTGCACTGTCGGGAGGATCACCATCTCCCGTAGTAGAAATAACGAAGATAGTGTAATGCAAATCTTCTAGGAAAAACTAAAATAATATAAGAATCATACATATATTTTTTAGTAAAAAAGATAACTACCTTCTTGTTCAGTTCGCTAGCGCAAAAAAGTCGGACTCTGTCAAAGAGTTCATTTTCCAATAAAAAGTGGTATACTCCCTAATAAAAGTTCGTAAACAAAAGTTACAAGTAGATTTTATTTAAAAGCAATTGGTAGCCTTAGCTACGGATTCCGCAGTTCCTGTTTGAGAGGCATATATGAGTGTAAGGTTTAAGGGGGCCATCGCTAACATTGTTCTCAGCGAATATCGCCTTAAAATAGAGTAGCAAGCAAATGGTAAATTTTCATGAAAAAACCTTCCCACATTTAGTAGTTTAGTCAAGATGCATTAAATGAGAGCAACGCAAAAATCTTTTGTAAAGAATTACTTATCTTAATTTTTCCACTGCTGTGTAAAAGTTAAAAGTATTAGTTTGTAGGCGTATGCTGACACTAAACCCCTTCTTGGTATATTTAGTAAAAAAAAAACCGTAAATAGAAATTTATTTGCACTTACCATTAAACTTTGAGAACAATTCAACCTATCTTAAATTATATAAAATTTTTATACATTATGTTGCAATATAGTTTACCTGCAAAATTAGAAATATGTACTTTATCCCAGTTTCAGTTAACTATTGCTTTTCGTAAGTTTATAGCGGTATAAGGAATTGCGATGCATATTATTTTAAATAACACTAAAAGTTATAAATTCAATATTATTGCCAAAAAGCGCCGATATATTTAAATGTCATTTTTACGTCTGAGTGGGAAGAAAGAGATGAAACACAGATATGAACAATCTTTAGTCGGTTGTAAAAGCGGTTAAGCGAAATATTAAAAAACTAACCAGTAAAAAATTACATACCATCGCAAGCTGACCTATTTCAGAGGTATATAGAACGCCTAGAGTAGTGTTTTACTTATAACATTTTTTACAGTAAAGAGTGCAGACTATCAGTCACCCATACCACTAGTTTACTAACAAGCGAAGATGAGGTATTAAAATGGATTGCAAACAATTTACGCAGAAATTATAGGATGAGTGAAAAAAGTATGTGCGCCGTACACCACTGGCTGCTGCTTGACACCGTATTTTGTCACGTTCTTAGCTTGCTGCAGAATTTACCTAAAAACCGGGCACGGCGACTTGCAAACAACCGGCTCTTAGTTACAAATCACATCGTTTATTATCTAAAAGCACTATATATATATACTTTTCCTTTTAAATTAAGTTAGCCTTTACAGATTGAAAGCCTATAAATCTATTTATGTATATTTACTTGTTATTTTAAATCAGGTTATTGGTCTTAGAATAATTGTTCATAAGTAAACAAGAAACATCAGTCGGAGGAAGTTATTTGTTTGGTTCTACATTAAAAAAATCTTGTTTTAGGTAAAGCAAGCTGATTTTGTGTGAACTATTTACAAATACGATACTTTGGCAGCCCCTAGTGCACTTGCAGTAAAAAAGTTAGATGTCTAGAGCTCATGGTTTAAATAAGAATTTTGAACTTGTTCATTTAGTGTAACAATATTTATACCCTATAAAAATACTTAAGTAGAGTTTTAAATGGTATATCAGTTAGTTTTTCATCTCTTTATTTTACTTAATTAAATATAAAGATTTAACATTTATGAAAAACTAACCTTAAAATTAGCAAGCATCAAAAATTATTTTGTTTACCTTGAACCTTATTTAAATAACTTAAATTAACGATATACTTTAGTTTTTAGGGAAAAAAGAGAAATTCTTAACTGGTGTTTTTTTATTTACTAATTAATTTTAAGGTCAGGCTAAAATGCTGGATCAGCTTTTTCAACATCAGACAGTTTAGAATGGCCTCTCAAGAACTTGTCTGTTTTATACACGGTGCTCTTCTCTGCGCTTTTTTATGTATAACTAATGACTGCTGCAAGACGCTCAGCATTTTCGAGCGCGGGCTGCTTAGTTTAAGTATGTAACCCCCCTTACCCGAATTGAGAGTAAAATACATAGGGCTATCGTTCCGAGGTCGGGTGTCGCCATCGTAGTTTAGCGGTTAATAGCAAAATTTGTAACGGGCCTCGGCTTTGACGCGCATTTTCTTTCTATTTCTTAGTTACTTGCAATTAAAAGTATTTAACAGGCAAAATAAAAAATTGTATTTTAATTTATTAGTTGCACAATAAAAATTTAATGTTGGTTATAATCAGAGCATTAAATGACTTTTACTTAGCTAACAGTCTATAAAGAGCCTAGTAAGAGGGATAATGGCTATGCAGTAAAATTTTACTATCTTTGTCTCAATGCACTGCATGTTTATTTAATACTTCTTTACTTTAAAGCAATAATTAGTATATAAAAAAATTTATTGCTCTCATGATACCAATAATTTTCAGTAGTATTTTATCGCTCTGATATTATTTATTTTATTGAAGTAATTTATAGATGTATACTGTATATTTCACTTTTTATTTTAAACTAATTGTTTTATACATTTTATTATTGTAAATACTTATTTCATGTTCTGTTACCTTTACTTTCAATTACGCTAAAATAAAAATTTATGAGCTGCTTCTTCAATATGAACAGATCTGGTAATAACAGTTGAACATTTTGTAAGTGCGCTAAAAGACATTTTATTGCAGTCTCTGCTATACCTGTTACGGCTAAAGAAGATCATAAATTCAATATGGATAAATAAAGTGCTCTAAAATTTAATCGGCGCAACGTTGCAAGAGCTAATGAATAGACAAGAATTAGATTCGAGACTCGGAATTGGCAGGAAGCAAGATAACAACATTCAGGGCACTTTATATCAGTAATATATTCCAAATTTGGTTCATGGTTCTACAGGTATCCGTTTAAATACTTAAACGCTTATGCAACCTCTTTCTTCTACTATTTTTTCTGTTGTAAAAAATGAAGACTCTTTATAAACACATAAAATTATTTTTATTTAAACGATTCCCACACCATCTCAAAAAAAATCTGATTACAATGGAAGCCCCTTAAATATTTTCATATTAAATCTAAAATTTGCTGTAAATAAAGTTTCTCGCATTGAAATTTTTAGTTATAAGCTTTTTAGAAAAGTAAAAGAAGTAATTAACGAAAAATATTTGTTAAAGTAGAGGGCACTTACAATAAACCGACAGTAACATCCACATGCATTAACTTTCCTATAAAATATGGCCTCCCCACTGCATCCGGCCAGGGTGGCCTAGTAGGTTAAGGCGTTAGACTGAAGATCTAAAGATCGCTGGTTCGATTCCGGCCCCCGGCACTTGTTTTTGAAACTTTTAGTATGTTTTGTGTTTGTTCAGTCAAGTAGAATTTGTAACGGTTTTAGAAATACTTATATTAAAAAAAGATTAAAGTACTTTTCATACAACTAAAAATTTTACCACAACGATAGTCAGAGCAGAAATTTTTAACTCTAGATAACTTTTTTTTTCAGTAACCTAAAAAAAATTTCTTTAATGCTCAGACAAACAATTTTCTTAATCCATGTATATACATTCAATGCGTAAAACAACAAATAAAGGTTTTGGATGGCGTGGGTATGCTTTTCAAGTGTAACTTGGTAAGCTTCTTGAGCTAAAAGTTAGAGATTTTATTCGCATAACACCACTCGAAATAAACTTCTTCAAAGTATTTATACAGCGTCTCAAATAGTTCGGCGAAGTTCTTTTTTTAAATTTAGTGGAGCATGACGCAATGGTAAAGTTCGTGTCCACTACAACTGCTTTTTTTTAATATTTCATATCAAAAACCCTACATCTTTCGCTAAGCAGTTTTTAAATAATTGATTGTTCTTTAGACAATATGAAGCACTTTAATGATACATTTTTTAGGTTAAAAACTCTACATTCTTAGTTTCGTAACATAAAATTTAACTCTTCAAGTTAGTTCTCGACATTACCACTTACACCAGTCTCAAGTTTTTCAGCGTTATCCATGTCGTATACGTGTTTACTGCTTATGTCGCTAGTAATCACTAACTGCTTATTTTTGACTCAGCACCCCTATTATGAGCTGTTCCTAAACTTTTGCTTACTGTATAAAAGTTTCATACGTACTCAAATGATAAAAAGTTCATAAAAGTCGATGTTATACTTTGTGGAGTTTTCTCTAAAGCAATTGTTTAGCGGTATAATGAAGTCCTACTATTGATTTAGTTCAGTGTAATCGAGCTACATTGTACATAAGAAAATCGAAATAATTTTTATTTTTTTTTAAAAAAAAAGTAAAGTCCACTATTTGAAAATATAAGTAATAATATTATAATTTATAGATTTATTTTACAGCCCTTTAACAAAAGTTACACAATACGAGTTCAATTCGAAAGGCACTTAGCAAAGTAGAAAAGCATATTTTCAACTTTTATAGAAGAATTAATTAGTTAAAGAAAGGAATCCATAAAAAATAAATAATTGTAAATTTTTCCGAGCTATGGGTAAACGCTGGAATAGTTTTGAAAGGGTGGGTAGCTAATATTCTGTAAAATAATTAAAAATATAATTAGCGCTAAGCAAGTAAACAAAATTAATTTTCAAATTAATCACTTACAAAGACAAGAGATAAAGCTTAAAAAAAAATTAACATTTACTTTAATAATTATTTCGTCCGAAATTATAAGTGGCATCTCTTTTATTAATAAAGCCGTGTGTTAACTTAGAATTAAATTTAATGCCAATTCTCTCCGTTTAAAGAAATAGAGAAGTATTTTAAGATAAAATTAATACTAAAGACTACACAGAGAAAGCACAACTCTATAAAGTAGAAAATAAATTATAATAGTTAGTTACGTCCATATCTGTAGGATAACAAATAGCGCCAACATCGGGATAAGTGCCGTGGCGATATGAATGCTGCGGCTGCGAAGGTTGCGGTTGTTGGGGCTGCTGAGTGGGTTGAAGTGCAATTTGATCAGGCGCATTCAAACAAGATTGAATCAAATTTTTCCCTGTAAAAAAAACATTCAGAATAAAAATAGTCATAATATTAGATATTACCTTCGGGTTTGGTAATCATTGGCTGGAGCTTAGGAGTTGCAAAAGTGTAAACATGGCCAGTTTCCGAGGCAACAAGAAGGAGAACTTGAGTGCCAGTTAAAGTGCTGAGCTCAAAAGCCTAACGAGAGTTTAATTTAAAAATTAAAATATATCATTTTTACAAGAAAACTGGTGATATAACCTTTTTCATTATTCCTGCTTTTCTTTTACTAAAAGTTATTGTTCGACGGCTTTTGTCCTCAATAAATTCAATTGGTATTTTTCTGCGCCCACCAGTGGACTTACGCATAACAGGGCTGTCACTGTCAGACATGATCTGCTGGTTTATGAAAATTTAGTTAAAGCTGCAAAACTAAATGGGGATTAATGTCAAGTTAATTATAGAATGCCAAGCCTCAATTTACTCAAAATCTCCTACGTAACTACTAGACACGCTCATACAGGACAGTTTGTCAGAGCACGAATAGCGCTTGCGATTTATTGTTGAATAAAGTAAATGTAAGAATGTACGCAAATATGTGTAGTGTACGATATTATCATAATTTTAAACTGCTATTATTGAAAAGAGGTGTATTTGGTAAAGGCAGAAAGTCTTTAAAAATACAGAGCCCCGCTATTCAATAGGAAAGAGCGTTCCAGTCTTACCACTCCTATAAAGGAAAGCTAATAAAAAAGGGAACAATTCCGATAAAGAGGAGGGCGCACCAAATTTGCAAAATCTATATTTATATAATCTGGCGGGAGAAGGGAGAAATAGGACCAGTAAAGAGAGCGTTTAAAATTTTGTGGTGAAATACGAATAACCGCAGACAGCTTAGCGCAAAAAAAAATTTAATTTTGAGTATACGTTGGTTATAATAAATGAAGGTTGAAAAAAATAAGCAGAGCAAAACAAAAAAACTGTTCACCTGCTTTTTGCAAAAACCGTCTTTGTAAAAAAAGTCCATAAATAGAAAAAAAAAGTGTAAAATTATAATTTTAAGGAAATTTAAAAAGAAGAAGTTGAGTGGTTGGTCTTGCTTAAGTAAACGCAACGTGGGCCCTTTTAAATAAAAGGTATCAATTTATATAACTCTACTATAGCAACATTATAATACTTTAAATAGCTCCTTTTAATCTTAAAAAAGTTATTAGCTGCAGATAAAATTAGATTAATAGCTTGCGTTCTCTGCAGAGTTGATGTATTTGTAGTAAACAAAAATTGTATTAAACATCACGTTGTCCCTTTTCATAGTAGCATTTTACTCTATAGCCTAAATTTTATTATAAAGCATTTCTTTCAAAGTTTTTGATTTTTGTTCATGTTAATACGAAACTTAAAGCTCCAGGTATTATTGCTCATTGATAATGGTGTAAAATTGCTAGTAACTAGTAAAAACGAAGGAGCTTGTAAATCATTATACATTAAAAATAATTTTCTTCAACAAGCTAAGTTCGATTCATAATTATACTTCCTTTCACCACGATTACCAAACCAGCCAGTTCAAACCCACTATTAGACCTATAAACCAAATAATATAGTTTAAGCAACCACAGTGAACTTTTTAATATTCACTTAATACATTAAAGAGACAACAAATGAATGAATGACTGTCTTTACATAGTAAATTTATCCTTTTTCGATCAACTAAAAACGGAACATTTTAGTAATAGAAGTGTATAATGTAGTTGCTTAAAACTATTAAAGATGTCTTTTGTTATTGATCTTATACATATAACATAAAAAACGATATTCAAAATTTGTTTAAGAATTTAAAAGAAACTAGTTCATAAGCTTACCATTAATTGTACTTAATGGTCATATACTGCTTTTCTTTGAGGGTTATAAGCAAGTAAAGAATGGTATCTAACTTAAATCAAGGCCGCCGATATATTAGTTACTGGTAGAATAATGAGTGATAAGATAGTCTTAATTTCTCACATGTAATATAAAGTTAACTCGTACCTGATATCCAAAAAGAGAACCTCGTTTCCTACAAAGTACATGAACTATTTCTTTATATGCTCTTCTGAAATATTTTTTTTGGCTTAAGCCCCTTTTTAAACTTATTCTAAAATAGGCATATAATAATTTATTACTGACGTATCGTTAGTAGTTAACATCAGTTGACAAACATAAAATCCTAAATAAGCAATCAATATTTATGTCTACATCGTAACAAAAGATAAGAAGTTTTGAAAGGAAATATGCGGCTATGGATGAATAAAACAAAGCTGTCAAGACATTTTAACATAACAAAAGGAGAAGACAAATCCAACGCTTTATGCGACCCCTCTTTTATTTTTGAATTTAACTAAAGCATAATACAACTTTTACACAATAACGTGTGGCAGACCAGATGTTATCTTAACTAATTTTTGGGAATCTAACAAGTTATAGTAGAATTAATTTTTTTCTTTTTCTCTAAGGTATCCGGTTATCTTTGTAAAAACAGGTTTTTTCTTTTTTCTTTAATTAAATTTTAAGAGGGACCTGGCCCTAAAACGTGTTTTCAAATAGCTTATAATAACGATTACCTATGTTAAGTGGCGATACCTATAATTATAAAGAGCTTAGCTGCGTAATAGTTCATTGAGTATTCTTTTTAATGTTAAATATTTTGTCTTTAGTGAGTTATTCTATATGGTCATGTGTTATTCTCTAGCGGTGCTCTTTTCAATTAATTTGTCCTGTTCTTGTTTTTACCTTAAAAAAGTTTAATATACACTTTTTATAATAACATTCCTCATTATATTAAACACAAAAGTATTTTTATAAAAGTAACTTTTACCTCTCTCTTTCCTATATTTTATATAGAAGGTTTAAAAGTAAAGATTTCTGTTGAAATTTTGTAGGCTATAGTATATGTTAGTTGGGTATACTATATTTAGTATAATACACACAGTCCATTGGCTAAGGCTTAGCATTTCCTTCTAGAAACAAATTAGCTGTTTAATGTTTTACTTGTAATTTTAATATTTCTTAATATACTGAGTCTGTAAAACAGTATTAGTTATAGATCATTTATGCGTGTAACTTCCACTTAATTTATAATGATATTCTAAATAATGAAAATATAAATTTTAAATAAAAATTTTTATAAAAAGCAAAATTAACTGAGTGTGACAGACAAAAACATTTCAGCGAATGATAAAAACCTTTGCTGAAGCCAAAAATAATATCAACATTCAAACAGTTTTATTATTCTCAGAGAGGCTAAGAGTCATATAGTCAAAGTTTCTCCAACTTCATAAAGAACACCAGGGATTTTGTCATTTTCAACTGAGTAAACATTACGAATATAGTTTGGTTTTTTTCAGTCCGATGACCCACTTTACTATCATAACAAAATAACTGCACCCACTATTACAGAATCTAATTATAAAATATTGGACGAATTAATATAGTATAGGTGCTATATACTAAGTGTGAAAATTTTAAGACTGAGCGAGCTATCTACGCTTATAAATTAACAGTTTAACAGCTTATTTGCCTTGGGGCCACTATATACTAATTACCGTTTAAAATAAAACAGTCAAAAAGAGCTATTATGTAACAGAGTACTATTCCAAAACCTTCCCGCATTAACTGTAAGAATCGTGCCCTATATATATATTCAAGTGTTCAGATTAAAAAGATTCTTACAATCATTACCTCTCTGTAAGACCTCTAAGTTAAAATCACCCAGTTTTTATATATGTGGTCATTGGTCTCTTATTCCCGTGGTTTATTAATCCAGTGCTAAATGTAGTTTCATCTAACTGAGCTCAACAGACGCCATGGTTGGTGGTTATTTTAACATTAAACAATATACTATATTTTACGATGCACGTTATTTCCTCGAAAACCTCATTTTCACTTTACCTGGTGTCAACTCTTAGGTAAAAGGCTCGCGCCTTGTAGGAAAGCTTCTTGCCTCAAGTTTACTCTTTGTAGTGAAGTGTGACTTGCGTCTTTTTTATATGATCTTGGATCTGTTTTAACCTTCTTGCTTTTTGTTTTTTTTTCAGTTTTATTGACTCTTCCTTTTTTCTTTCAATATTATTGTTTCATTTATAATAATTTTGTACTTAATAACCTATTTTATACCTTTATATCCATTTAAATCTTTATATATAAATTTTGGCGCGCTTTATGATCTTCACAGAACCCTAACAACTTTTTTAAGCGTAACAGCATAGGAGACCATAAAGTAATAAAATATGGGTTTATTACTAACATTAAGTCGCTAGTAATTATTTGACAATCTGTTGCCAAGTCTTTTGAAGAAGGCGTAGAATTTCAGTTCTTTTAATCATAAAATGCCTTCCTTTTTTTCTATTCTAATTTCTGTTTTTGTTGCCTAATAATAATGTTGATCTCTGTTCTTGACTATTTTAGAATTTCATCAACTTATTTTTTAAAGCCTTCTTTACTCGTCTAATCTTCTGTTCGTTATCACTGTATATTTTAAAAAAGAAAAATTGACTATTTCCACAAAAAGAAGTTAAATTTTTGTGTCCAGATTGATTAACACTATAACTTAGTCCTTCCTATGTATGACAGAAATTTTAACGGTGGTTCCTTACTAGAGAATTAATTAATTACAACCGAAAATGTGTTGAAATTTATAATTTTTAAATTTTCATTACACCAAAGAATAAAATGATGAAGACAGTGTCGATGTTATACCTGGCTTTTTAATTTTTATAACCAAACTAATCTTCCAAAATTGTTAGTTATGTGAATCCAGCTATCAGAGCCATTATATGCCTATAGAAATCTGCTAAGTGCTCAAAATGTTTAACAGCATATAACAAATGGCCTTTTTCACTACTCAATTTTATATTTGACACTTCTTTTACAACACCTTTGTTTATAAGTTTGAGTACGTCATAACTTTCTATCGATCGTCCTTTCTTAAATTGTCATTTTCCATTGTGCTTAATATTACACGGCCATTCGAAGGAATTTTTTATGCCCAGTCTTTGATACTTTATAAAAGCTAAAATTGTCTTTTATATACTATGTGGATAAATGAATTTATTTTTAAGGCCTGCTAGGAGGATTTGTGGTTTATAAAGTCAAACGGCATCAAATGGGAGGAAAAAGTGTTCTTTCATTAAGACAATGCTTTCAGAATTTTGTTTATAGATAAGTTGTACTCGTCAACACCGAAACAGAAAAATGCGGGTTGACACGGCAAAATTGCATGAGCTGAAGTTTAGTGTAATTCCGCATTCTCCTATTCAGGTCTGCCCCCCAGTGGCTTTTATCTACTTGCAGACCTTAAAAAAACGCTTCAGGGAAGAGATTTGGATCAAACAAAGAAGTTATCGCCGAAACAGAGATCTATCCTGGAGCCTAGGCAAATCGTTCTATAGAAAAGGTGTAGAAACGCAGGGAAAGCTTTCGACTGATTGTATAGCTCTTAAGGAGACCATGTTGAACTAAAAGGTTAAATTTTACAAAAAAAGGTTTTTTTACTTAGTTAATCCCGGGATTCTAAGGCGACATGTTATAAAATTTCTTATATCATTTTTAAGTGTCTACCTAGGTTGGTCTTTATTTTATAACTATAATTAATTCTGCTCTATGATTTAAAGTTCATATGTTCACCAATTATACTTGCTTCAAAAACAGTACCTTCACCCCGTGTGGCTGAC